GGCGCGTCTGGGCCATCACCGCCGGGAGCCCCTCGTGCAGCCGGCGCTGAGGCCTGTCCACGATCCGAAGGAGCTCCAGCAGTCCCTCGCCTATCGCCGGGACTCTGGTTGTCGGCGCTGATTCTGCTCCCAGGAGTCCTCCACTCATCACCAGGACTCTGGATGTCGGCATGGGCCCTATTATCCCCACCACCTCCTGAATGACGACCTGGGTTCGGAGAGACGTTTCCGCTATCGCGGATTGGCCTATCAAAATTCGGAGAGACGCTCCCGCTATCGCGGATCGGCCTCTCCCCCCTCGGTTGTCGACTCCGGGCCTCAGATCCCCTATCGGGGACGGCAGCAGGCCTCGGGCTCCTATTCCTACCCGCATCCCTATTGGGGGAAATAGAAACATCCCCCCTTGCGCGCGCGCGGGGACCACCCCTTGCACGCTCCGGTGGCGAATGCGACCTGTCAGGCAACCCCCGAACCCTCCTGCTCCTGCTGTCGGACCTCTCCCTAACGGGATAGATTGGATGCCTGTCTGCGCGAGAAGGATCGACCCTATCGGGCACATTCGGCAATACATGATCAGGCAAAACAACGCCTCCGCCTGGTCTCACCGGCAGGCCAGTACCCCGGCCGTCACCTTCCCCTGGTGTAGGCGTCGGTGACCTGATCCTATGTCCTTGCCCCGCAAATGCATGGTAACCAACATTCCGTCTTTCTCTGGGTTGTGGAGGAGCTTCATTAATCTGCTGGACACCCTGAAGCATGCCAGCAGCCTCGTCAAATTGACCCTCCATTTCAAAGAGCTGGGACATGATTCTGTTGTTCGCGGCGCTAAGGTTACGCACGTTACCATCGATAGCGCTGACTCTCCGCATAACACCTTCAAGTGTACTCCGGAATGTGCCGAGCTCTCGCCTAACGGCAGGCTGCACTTGGTCACTGCTGGCAGGAAGATTACGGATCTGCCCTTGGATGCCATCAACGACCCGATTCACAATTGCCGATCTCGCTTCATACTGTTCAACATGTGACTTCACGGTTTCAAACCTCGAAATGATGTCGTCATGATCCCGACGTTGACGTTGAATTCCTCGAGCCAGATCATGCATCTTCCGATTGATCTCGTCAACAGCCTCATGCCAGTCCTGCGGGGAATCATGCCCTGATGGTCTATCGACCTCCTGAGAACCCCTTCCACTCTGCAGTCTAGACACTCGATTAACAAGACGAGTGTGCTCTTCTTTGACCCCTTCAATAGATTCAGAGGCCCACTTAGCAAACTTCTCGTGTTCAAGGAGAGCTTCCTCAATCTTCAGGTTTAACTCCCTGAAATTCGCGTCAACCACACTGCTGCTGGCCCTATCGGACAGGTTCGCGACAGGATTCGGGTTCCATACACCTGCCGGTGTCCGCATCCCAACGGTTTTCTCTACCGAGAACATCCGTTTCTCAAGCTTGTCCAAATCCTTAAGGGTCTCGTCCTCAGAAGCAGCATGGCTTCTGCGGGCAGCCTCACTATTTTCCTGAATCATCAGGCGAAGCCGATCAGTCGATGCCTCATTGTCCCTGACAGATTCATGGACCTCGTGGGACAATAGGTTAATCCTCTGCTCCACGACCTCGGCTTGCTCATCGATGGCTTGCCTCATAATGGCCTTGCTATCGGGAATAACTTCCCTTGCGAACCGTTGAACTATCATACGCATCCTCCCGGCATCAGATTGGGTCGCAACCTCAACTGCCAGGCGATCGACCTTGTCCTTTGTCCGTTGACTCTCGTCGCTCCATTCCCTTCGCATGGAACTCACCTGACCGTTCAGTACCCTGATTTGGTCAGCAAAGATGTGGAACGCCTTCGCGACTGAGCCGGAAACCTCACCTCTCTCGAGCATCTCCTGGATGTGCAAATCGAACACCTCCTTCGCCCTAGCGTCAGCTGATTCGCCGGAAGACTGGGATCTGAGGGCGGGAGGAGTCGATATCTCGATCCTCTCAGGAGCCCCACTAGCCCCGGCATATCTTCCGGGGTCATCCACGGGGCAATCATCAATCCTGGATGGTCTACTCGGCATTTTTTTTTCTCCGGCTATCGCCAGATCGAGGATCAATGTTGGATGCACGTGACTCGGGGGTGGAGTGGATGTGAACATCAGCGGGATCGGGCATCTCCTCATCCTGCGGAGTTGAATCCATCGGTGAGGGGCTAGCCCTCCTCGCCTTTGACCTATCGGTCTCAGCGGCGAGAGGTGACGGTCTTTTCGCAGAAACACTACGTTCCCTGGCAGTCGAACCCCATTGAGGTGTGAACTCGTTGCTAGACCTCAGAGTTTCAAGATCACTGGTATCTCGCCCTAACGGGCTAGCGATCGACGGACGATCTTCGATCCCGAGTGCATCGGCAAGCCGACCATCTCTGGCACCTGTCCTAACAACATCGGCAGCCCGCTCAGTGATCCTCGGTGAACCAGTAACCCGGTTCGAGCTCACGTCTCTCTGACTCAACGGACCTCCAAATGTGATGTTGGGAAAGGGGGGAACATTCGGGGAATCACCAATAGCCGGGGGACCTACCGGTCCCTCGCGGTCATGAATGGCCTCCAATCCCCGAAGAACTTCCCGACTGTCCCTGGCTCTCTCTCTCTCGCTTCGGGCATCCCTGTCAACGCGAAGGTCCCTGGCGGCTCCACGAGAGAGGCTCCTGGGCCTCGCAGCATCACGGATCCTAGCATTTCGTCGTGGTTGGTCCTCCTCCTCATCACGGCGATCCGCAAACGCGGCATACTCTCATCATCATCGACCTCAAACTTGGCAGCGGCGGGATTAGTCCTTGCAGTCTCACGGCTGCCTGCATCTCGGCGCGAATGGCTCTCCTCCTCATCCGCAAAATTGTAATCTTCGCCATCATAAGACTCAGATTTGGCAGTATTAGGGTTGGGCCTACCGGCATCAGACCCCTGCTTTGAGCTACTGCCCCAACCTGCGGTTGATCTCAACAGATCATCGTATCCGAAGTCCGTGAATTTCCGCTCCTCGTGCTCATCAAACTGACCTGGATTCTGAGAACCAGTGGATCGGCCCGGGATACCTCCCGGAACCAGAACCATAGTTCCTGGTCCCTGCGGCCTACTCTCAAACTCATCCGAGACCTGCGACTCACCTGGAACAAGAGATCTCGGAGGTCGAATCGGCATGGCCTCCGGGTCATCCGAATGAGGGCGGGCCATGTCCATCGCCATGCTGGTGAAGTCAAAATGTCCACGCCTGTGACCTGATTCAGAGCCACTCCTACCGGAGTAAACCCTTCGTGTCCGCTCGTCATCAGTGGCCTGGCGGAAAATACGATCGTCTCCATCGTCGGCGTACCTGCCACGGCCCCTGGGTGTATCCCTACCGGGATCTTCACCCCTGCGGTCCTGACCTGTCGAACCTGCTTCGAAATCCTCGTAGTCATAGTCCGGTAGGTCCTCACCTGAGCGGAGGCCACCTAGGATGGCCTCCTCATCCACGACGCTCCTTCGAGATCGTGGGGTCGACATAGAGCTTGTAGTTGATGGTCTCAAGCGCGTAGGAAAGTCCTACGGCTGATAACCTGTGATTCGGGCACGAGCCTGTGCCCAGGCAATGGGTAAGTTGGGGTAAACAAGCCACAAAAGAAAGGTTCCCCAAAAGCAAACCAATCCCCGGTCCCAAAGATCAGGGTTTCCCACACACCAGAGAACAACAACCAAAGGAAAACAAACCAAACAAGAAAAGGGTTAACCCGCAACCTTGGTCGACAACAGGCCGCACGACTGGTCCCTACCAACCTGGCGGCGGCCCGAGGTCTCTTTCTCCCCCGAGATGCCGTCGGTCGACGCAGGGGTTCGGCGACGCCCATTCGAGGCGCGACGGAACCCAAAACTTGAGCCAAACACCACAGGTCAGTCACTACCGCGACATCCCTGGTGATGAAATAAAACCATGGCTAATCACATTATTATTATTATTATTATTATTATTATTATTATTATTATTATTATTATTATTATTATTATTATTATTATTATTATTATTATTGTTGTTGTATTATTGTTGTTGTTATTATTATTATTATTATTATTATTATTATTATTATTATTATTATTATTATTATGATTATTATTATTATTATTATTATTATTATTATTATTATTATTATTATTATTATTATTATTATTATTATTATTATTATTATTATTATTATTATTATTATTATTATTATTATTATGTTTATTATTATTATTACTATTATTATTACTATGATTATTATCAAACTTTGACCCATCCGCATGGGTCTTCAACAAGAGAGCCACACGCCAGAACTGCCGCACACTCTCTGCTGCACAAAAGGCAAGCCCCTCGCCTGCCATTTCAGATCCGTCTTCGTCAGAAGGATGAAGAGGGAGAGGATGAAACAGCAGAAGGCCAAGAAGGTCGTCCAAAGCGATGTGAAGCCTTCGGGACCAAAGCCTCCGCCCATCCGACCGGATGGACCCACACTAACACAAATCGGTGGCCCGCAATTGTCCGAGGCAAAATGTTTCAATGCGTGTTCTGCGTGGACTTCGCGAACAACGTTCGACCTTTCCAAAATGTGAAATTGTAGCACATCTTGGTGGCCTTTAGCAGCTGAACAAACAGCTGACAGATCAGCACCAGCTCCAACTCCTTTGATTTGGGGGCTGGCTTGGAATTGTAGGGTTGGTTGGGCTACCAAGGTGGGTTCAGAAAGAAACAGTTCGAGGGCTGATTCATTCGGGCTTGGGGGCTGCTGCAGCATGCTGGAAAGGTCGCTTTACAATTGCCTAAGCTCAGGGCAATTGAACAGCCTGGAAATGTGAGTGTACAAACAAGAGTACTGCGTACGACTGCACGTTCCGCACGTTCCACAAGCAGCGCACGTACAGGTGATCGGTCATGTGTGCCGGAGCGCGTACAGGCGCTCTTCAAGTTGTGCTGGCGGGTAAGTCATGTACGGAGAAGCGCGTGCAGTAAAAGTTAGTAAAATACACAAACAATGTTGAACCAAATATAGCATTTGTTGGTGAAACCACTCCATATTTTGGAACTCATTTGCAGTGCATACAGCGTGCACTTGTAGTGCCTGTGCGTACAGTGCAGGTGTACAGTGGTGCGCACACAACCCGCGTACATGATGGACAAACAGCAAGCACCTTCGTACTCTCCACAGCATTCCCTTGTTGCTGCTTTTACTGTTCTCGTTAATACTTGTTCGTTCTGATGGAATTTTGGCTCAGCACCTGCGTAGTTCGGTTGCACCAGCGTGGGCAAAAATTCAGGTCGGTTACTTGCTTGGTTGTTTGGCTGGCTGGCTGGCTGGCTGGCTGGCTGGCTGGCTGGCTGGCTGGCTCCAAGGCTATCTAAATGCAAGTCATCCGTTTAGGTCCCATTATGAGTGATTAGTGTCTCACAAGCAGTCGGGACCGCTCTCATCCCAAGCATACACCCATTTTGCGCCAAACAAAAATCCCATCAACCACAGCGCCATATTCCAACCCACTATCCGCCTGTAGAACAGCGGCAGAAGCTCTGCAGTGAGAGCAAGAAATGCGCCTGGCACGGCACTGCCGATGTTGACATGGGCAGAAATGGAAACCTGAGAAAACCGAGCCCGGGCACCTTTCATGCCTTGGCCTTGTTTCTGGAGCTCCAGCAAGCACCCTTCGAGCTGACCAGGCTTGCCAACCCTCCGAAAAAGAATTGAGACATGGCAAATCACCTGCCTGACATAGGCCCAACCTTTCCGACATGGGTTCCCCATGGGAACCCGAAGACTAAAATGGTGCCATATCGTTGTCATTTCGTCCTGGTTTGCACCAACCCAAAGCCCCGAGCATTGGATGCCCCTTCGGACGCAACCGCGCGGAGCGCGCAACACGGACCCAGGCGATCGGTACCATCAGCACTCCGCTACGCCCGCGGCGTGGCCCATGTTTTCTGGTGGGTGGCTTCTCCAAGGTCCCACACCACCCAATCACCTCACCCAACACCCGAAGCAAAATCAGGAAACCCGGACCTCCAGCGGCACGCCGCCCGGGAGACCCCACCTGGCCTGGATGCTACGCTGCACCGAGATCAGGTGCTCGGTCGGCGTCTTAGCAATGCCTCGGGCGACCCATCATCTCTATCACTACACCCGCATGCCCGATAACTCATGGTCTGACAAAGCGCAAGCAAAGACCACCTTCGAAACAAGCAAAACTAACACCCAAACCATCAAAATTGACGAACTTCTGAAAGCAAGCATGCCGCACGCCATGACTCGCAGCTCCCATGTTAGGCACTCCCACCGACCCGGCGCCGTCCCATCCCCCTCTCCGATGCCGAGCCGAGCGGCCGTACGAAAGCCGCCGGCCTGGGCTCACAAGGAACATGGATCGGCCACCGGGAAATGCCGCCCTCACCTCCCAGCCTCATGTCTGATGATGGTCCCCCTCTGCGCTTTTTTCGTTATTTTCATGCAGGAGGACCAGTCAAGCTCATCAATCAATCTGAGGTAAGATCTCTCTCAAGACCCCTTTGGAGGAAGCCACCATAAAGCCAACCATTTTGGAGGTGCTCCTGGTTTTGACAGATTCCCACATGCTTGTCGATTCCGATGAACATCCTTGCACACTCCAGCTGACATCGCTCGCACGCACCGAGAAGCTGATGAAATGCGAGCGCTTCCCTCTCACCATCCTTGGCACAGAGCACAGGTGGCATCTGCCGGACACAAACATCGTCTTCCGCCCTCTCAGCTCTCAGCTCTCAGCTCTCAGCTCTCAGCTCTCAGCTCTTCCTCTCTCTCTCTCTCTTTTCTTTGGCCTTTGTCCCAAGAGACGTCGCTACGCCAGGCCTTTTGAGCACCCGCCCCCTCAGCCTCTTCGCCTCTTCGCCTCTTCGCCTCTTCGCCTCTTCGCCGGGCGTCAGCTTCAAGCTCCCCGCGGTGTCCTCTGCGCCGCAATTCTCCGGGAAGGTCCGGGCCTCTATGTACTCCTTCGACTTCACGGGGCTGGGTGTGAAACACGCCACGGGCAGGAACCCGGGATCAGTTCAATGTGTTTTAGCGGCTCAAACAAAACACAGGAACTTGTGCGATGAGCAAGACCAAGGGAAAATGACACCCACATGCATCCCATGTCTTGAAATGTCGGCTTTGGTCATTGCTCATCAAAACGTTCTTGGCTTGCCCCACCCTTTACTGTTCGATCGTTCCAACCAATCATTCCGACCCTCATTCCATGCCAAAGCTCCTTGTGCTTCCGGTGGGTGGTTCTATCTCTGACCCGTTGCTTGGCCAGCTCCCAGACCAAGCTGTCAGGGCTGCGGTGCAGCATCCAGGTGCTGTTGGTGCCGTGAGCGCTCACCTCAGCGCGGGAGACGTCTTGGCGTGCCAAGGCGTTGGAGCATTTCCCCAAATTCCTCCGTCCACCTCTGTCCTCTTGTGGGATCCCGTTCGGGCACCACGGGCCAGGTGGCGCCGCCGCAGCAGTTGTGGATCATGCAGTTCAGCCGGAAGAACTGGGCGTCGTTGTTGTCCTTAGCCCGACTTGCCCCAAAAAAGCCAGAAAAACACCAGACACAAAACGGTTCGCAGCTCCGAGACCTCCCAAAACCCCCCGGCGGTCACAATTCCTCTCTTCCACGGTGTGGACACGCCATCTCACGCCGAGCTGCCAAGTAGTCTGCCCGGTCCTGCGAGGCCGTGACAAGCCCTCACCTTGTGGGGTTTCATGGTAAGCTCTAAGGGCGAACTTCTAGTCTCACGAAGCGAACGAACAACCTCGAGGTTGAGAAATGGTCTGCCACTTTGGAACCTCGCGGATTTCGGACTAGCACAAAGCCGGGCAGGTGATAAAACTCCATGCGCTCCTTAGAGCCCGGAATCTAGGGTACAAAAGAGCACGCCGACTATCTATTGTCTGAGAGATGATACACGCATTTCACAAGGAGAGACAAGCTGGCGGCTGGCAGGCGGTCAGCAAAGTTCTGCGCACACGGCATCCGATAAACACAGAGCGAAGGCCCACGAAGCCCCCGAAGCCATGGTCCTGCACGTGTGGAAAATACTTCGGACACTGGGCAAAACCCACATTCCGGTTCAGGTCTCCATAGTAGTCGAAGAAGTATGGAACCGTGGTGTGGAAAAAATCCTCAGCTTCACAGCCGCCGCACAGCAAGTGACGACGATGCACATGCAGAAAGCTGCCTCATTAAGCCTCTTCATCTGCAGGCAGCACAAACAGTTCTGTGACTGCGCCTCCACTTGCCTGACACCATTTTGTGAAGTGGGAGAGGTGTCTCTGTATCTTTGTCGCGGCAGAAGCTGATAGGTGAAATGCCAAGGGACAGTCTGAAACTGGTGGCGGGCATCGCAAAGACTCAGCAAAGCAGGCGCTGTGTCCTTAGCACGCGAGGCTGCACGTGTCTAAGCGTTGCTTTATCCTTGTCAAATTCATTCAGCGCAAAATTATTGAAGAAGCAACGAGGAAGACGTGTCATGAGTATCAGGCAACTCCTTACTTCCAGTCAGCCAACTTGCTTGTGTACTGTAGGGCCATCAGCACAGTACTGTAGGGATGGTCAAACATGTTGCGCCTTTTCTGGGACCCTACCTAGGTGGTCCCCCAAAACTGGGGGTCATCACTGTGACAGCTCTGCTGCCAGGAGCCTTTGGGGTGTGTGTCAAAATAGGGGGACCCCAGAATGGTGGCTTCCCCTTAAACCAAGGTCAACAGGGGTACTCTCAGCCGAGTTGCTCTGGAGTCTCCATATAGATTCTCCACGCGGGCCGAGTACCTATGGCACAAAGCACCCAAGGCCACAGGTGCCGGGCTTGCACGGGGGTTCAGACGCTGCTCTGCAAAAACAAGCAGACTGGAATCAGCGTGGGCCCTCTTCTCCTCAAACAGCTTTCGAAGTGGACTCTACCTTAACAGCACTTCTGACAATGAAAGCCAAAGCCACACGAAGAAGTAGTTCGACGCGAAGTTGAGGCAGCCTGCGCCGGCCAAAAAGAGCAGCGACCAAGAAGAAACGGCGCTCTCCGGCAAGAGCGGGTCATGGCCCAATGCGGGCAAGTCTTCGGCTTTTATTCCCTTGGGAGATTAATACATCTGTGAATCAAATGAACCTGCCGCACCCAACTCACAGAATGTCTTTGCAAATATCGCCTGCTTTGCCGCGGCTGGTGCGGAGCGGGATCTGGACTTTGGTCATGTCTGTCTCCTCAATGCCTCAGACTCGCGTGACAAAAGCAACACACAAATGAAAACGCAAACGAAAAACGTAGCACAACAATGCAGAAAACCAGCGACGAATGCAACAAACGACAAATCGAACAACCACAAACATAGCATCACAGTCACAAAAACACAACGGGCAACGCAAGATCATCACAAAAAGACGGAAGCAAACCAAAAAAGAGCCGCAAAGGACGGGCGAGGCGCCATGAACCATCTCCACTGCTCTTTGCCTGGCGTTGAGCCAGTGCTCGTTGCTGCTGCCCTGCGGCACCTGTCTTGCATTTGTCCCCTGCCGGGGGTGGATGGGGTAGGAGTAGGGGAGCCCTGCTTCAGGTAGTGACAACCAGAAACTGTCAAAATCACCCAGGGGGGGGCGGGGGGTGGTGGTTGGCTTTGGTATGTTTGCTGTTTGTTCCCTCCCTGGGTGAGATATGTCGCAAGCTCAGCTGGTGGACCCAATGCAGAACAAAGAAAAAGTAGTTGCTTTTTAGTGGGGAACATTTGTTTTGCAAGGTTGAAGGTTGACGGTCGAACCAAGGGTCAGCCAGGTGTGGACCCTCCATCTGAGCTTTCTTTCCAGCCTCATAGTACCAGGTGCCGGGGGCCACATGCTGTGTCTTCCTGAGTGGCTGGAATCGCTGAAGTGTTCCCTTGCTCCTCCCACCCCTTGCTCCTCCCACTACCCCTTGCCTTCATGCAACACAAGACCGCAAAAGTGAGGCCTGAACACTTGCCAAAGGCAGGCATGCCCTTTGACACTGCCAGAATCGGAACTCCCAGCACAGGGCACAGGTCAATGGCGCCCTACGCGTGATTGAAGCTGTCATCCATTCATCCAATAACCCATTGACCCACAGCTAGGCGGCTAGGCATATCCAACCTCCCCCACCACCCCATGCCAAGTCGCAAGGTCCGCTCGTCCTCCGGAGGCGCGGCCCGGGCCAGGTAGTGCATGCGCAGAGCCAGACCTCGGAAGCGCGTCTGTTCTCCGTTTGGCAATGGCCCAGAAGCCGCCAGGATTGAAGAAAAACACTCCATGTCCATGCCGAGCGTCTATTGGTGTCCGTTGGCAGCCAGTCCACCAAATCGTCCATGAAGAACTTGTGCTTGTAGGCTCCTGGCACTGGTGCTTGAAAGGGCTTCCAAGGACGAGATTGCCGCATTGGTTTCGAGTGTTTTCCACCAAGCGCTTCCCCGTTTTGGCTGATGTTCCAAGGGAAATGGAGTCACAACTGATAGGTAGCAAAGGTCGACAGCACGTCCGGCCATCCTGCCATCCCACAAAGCATGCAAGTGCACAAATAGCCCTTTCAAACAAAGAGAAGCCTTCAACAACTGGTCTTTGTATAGGTCTTGAAATTTGAAAGAGCACCCTCTAAAATGGCTGGCGGGCATAAATCCCCGTGATAATGATGTCCGCTCCCAATGAAAGATTCATACCCATGTGGGCAAGCGGTCAGCAACCCCATATAGCAAGTCCCCCAGGTAGGATATCGGAAACCCACATCCATGTTTCGGCTTCCCTCCAACTGGTGGCTCGTTTGGAGGTGAAACAAATCCACACCAGCTGAGGGCCACCTCATTGGCAGCTTGCCGGCCTGGCGCTCGCAGCTCTGCGTGCAGATCTTCGATGGCCTGGGTCTCTCGAAGAGCTGTCACGGAAGCCAAAATCCAACCCGTTTTCGCTGAGGCTCCGAAATGTTGAGCAATGCGAGTTAACCAGCAGCCAGGTGAACTTGGTCTTGGTTTCACAGATTCGAGAAAGGACTTCTTTTTCGCAATGGGTTGGTCCAAAGCTCCGCGAGTTCCCATTAAGGAGATCTGGGGAAGAGGGCACTGCCCCCCCGCATGGCCCACATGTGACACGGTCCAAAACTCCTTAAATAATCTCAATTCGTGGTCGTGGCTCCTGGACTGGTCCTTCCATTAGTGCCACATGGGGTGCTCTTTTCCCACTGCAAATGAGGGGCCCCTTCGAGGCTCGTCAGCGTCAGCACCTGCCATCCGTACGCCTTCTTCAGCTTCTTCAGCGTGGTCTAGGAGGGCAAAGCGAGAACCACATGGAAAACAACTTGGTGACTTGGTCCACTCAAAGGTAACCTTCCGGTAGTGCTTCTATGTTGGACAGTATGGTGTGGGGTAAGGTTGTTCATAAAGCCGCTACGTCGGCCATATGACAATGTTAAGATTTAAAGAAGGACGGCTTGTGACGTAGGATTCCGCCAAATAATTATTGGTACTTCTTGGAGTTCTTTTTGGTGTCAACAAATGTCCTTGCTCAAAGGTAAGGATCAGACTCCCATCGCTTGCCTGAAACTTTCAAAGGGTCGGACCGCCGTCACTCAATGCTTCAAGCCCGCGCCTGGCCGCTGAGGCTGTCCACGGTGCTTTGGCTATTGTCTCCGTAGAGGTTGTCCTCACGCATGGGGACCAACTTCCTGATGTGGTTTCTTGTGTTGCACCCCACAGTCTTGGCAACTCCACAGATGGATTTTGTGCTTTCTCCGATTTGGAACTCCTCATGAGTGAAAGGGAGTTCAAGACCTAGTGCAACAGAACAGAGAATCGATAAAACTTCGCATGGCCTGCACGAATAGATCCCATCCGCTCCCAGCCACTTGCGCTCCTTAAGCTGCTCCGAGGTCATCTTGTTGGTCTCTTCCTGGGTCAAAGCAAACAAACAGTGTACAATTTGACGACCCAGGGGAAGCGATTGCCTGTTTCGTGGTACCTGAGATATCCTCGTCGCAATCGCTGCTACTGCTACTGCTCCTGCTTTTTGCTTTTGCTTTTGCTTGTGCTTGTGCTTCTGCTTTTGACTTTGCTTTTGCTTTTTCTTTTGCTTTTGCTGCTGCTGCTGCTGTTGCTGCTGGTGCTGCTGCTGCTGCTGCTGCTGGAAAACTTGGCATGGCAAACTCAGCCAAAGGCATGTATTTCTATGGTCTTCCCTAGCGCAGCATGCCCAGGCAGTCGAATATCCAACAAGATCAGATGTTGCTACTCTTATGTCATAGTTTGCTGCCAGCCAATTCTTTAACCAATGCAAAAACCGAGGTGCCACCCAGACGTGGAAGAATTGCCGCACGTTTTCCTCGTAGGCCTGGAAGTTGGAGCCTGGCAGGCGCACAGTTTCGGCTGCTTGACCCCGGACAAAGCTCAGCTCTCTTTTGCGGCTCCTAGGCTTAGCTGCAGCCCAAGGGATTTATGGCTTCCTCTCAGATTGCCAGTCGCCTGAAGGGATCGCCGCGAGGATGTGGCAGAGCTTTGTCCACACCGCCTTGTGCTGCGGCCGATGTCCTGCAAGTCGCAACGGAGGGGATAAGGCCAAGACCATCCCAAAATGTGGGAACCAAAGCGCGGGGAGTCCTTTTGATCTCCCCCCGAAAAGGGGAACCTTCGAAAAGAACACCCAAAAGTTCACGCGACAAAGGTGCAAAGGCCAACAGGGCGAGGAGCTTCGGCACGGAGCTTTTCAAGGGGCTTGATCCGAGAAAACTGACGGGTCGACCTGATGCAACTAAAAGCCAAACAGGATCCTTGGAATTCCCTCCCAAGGCAAGGGTTGAGGTTTGGGCATGGTTGGCTATGGTTGGCTATGGTTGGCTATGCTTAAACTTGTTTGGCTGCTTGATTCATTGACTGCTTGCTTGCTTGCATCGCTTGCTTGCATCGCTTGCTTGCATCGCTTGGTTGCGGCTTGATTCATTGCTTGCTTACTAAAGTTGCTTGCTTGCCGTTGGCGCTTGCCTAAGAGGCCCCCAGCCAACTCACCAGACGAGGCCCAAGAACCGGCCTTCGTCCAGGTAGGCCACGTGGTACCGGCAGCTGCAGCCAGCCGGGAGCGCGCCCACGGCGCCTGACACCCGTCTCACGGGTTGGATTCCTTTCGGTTGCAAAAGACCAAAGGAGCACCAACCAAAAAGAAAACCCTGGAGGACATAAATGGGGTCGAGTGTGGGCATCTCCGCCATGGTGGTCTCTAAACACTCGATCTTAGGGTGTCCAGGCCACATGGTACCGACTTATCGAGATCCTGATAAAGGAAACTCAGGATTGGAAAGACCCGGGTAAGTATTGATTAACTGGCCGATGTCTCATTTCAGTAAGGGAGCCTTTGCTTACCTTGGGAACAGCTCTTATCAACAGGGCAGGCCAAATGTCGCGGCATCAGCATCCATGACGGGTCTTAAATCCCCCCACACCCACTCGCCCCGCAGAAAGCCGGTCTTGTGACACTGACCCATCCAGCCAGAACAGGATTAAAGCTTGGTCCTCCCCCCCGGAAGGGGCAAGTTGCATTGGGTGGACAGTGGAAGACAAAACACGTCTCTATGACCCTGAATACCCACACCCCAACAAGTCCTTGGGTTCCTGGAAACATGCCATTTTGACGGACCCAGAAGGCAAAAAAGCAGAGGCTCCTCTCAAACCCGCGCCTATCAAGCTGCGAAGAGCCAGTGGTCGGCTCTCGTCGCTGCTGGTCACGCATACCAGAACGAAGCCTGAGATCCACTGGTGAAATGTGCACAGCTTCGTGCCCATGGCTTGGAAATGGGGTGCTCCCCTCACAAGGCGCATCTCATGATCATTCTGTGATTTCCAGTTTTCCTCACGACAAACATCACACCAAAAAAAGCAAACCAGGCAAAAAGCGGAGGGTGCCCTTCCCCACCTTTCATCGGGAAGATAAAGCAAACCCAGTATACACAAATTACAACAAACTTCTGACGAAATGATCGCTTGAAACATCCGAGCGGCGCAGCTCCTCCGTGAGGGATGGGTCATACCTGACCCCACCCATCGCCAGCTGGGCAGCCGGAAACGACACGCTATCCCCCCGAACCTAACCCCCGAGAGTCTTTGTGACGCGATAGACAGTTGGAGCCAAAGTCTGCCTGTTGCAGTGGGTACCACGAGTCGTCGCTTTTGTGGTTGCAGTCGATCCTATGCGGGCCTACACACACTGAGTTGTTGCTTCATGGCCGCACTCCAGGGCAGCGCGGCACTGGTCTTCTTTGTGTGCATCATCATGCGACAAGTATGCCTACCTGCCCTACCTACGGACAAACCAGACAAACCAAACAAAATCCCAGGAGCTGTTTTCAAAACCGAAACGGGTCGCCTCCGGAAGTGCGGGTAGGACCGGAAAATACCCGGGCAAAGCACTGCCGCCTTCACAGCGAAGCCAAGCCTCGGGTCACATGTGCTAAGGCAATCAGACAGGCGGCACCAGTCCACTCTTTAGCTCTGGCACGACTTTGAAGTGCAACCAAGCAGCAGCAGCATGCACACGAATAGCCAACATGCCACTGATTCGTTCTTCTGCCTGGGCAAGCGACATGGAAATGGCGTGACGACATAAACGTGGCGGTGGATATTCCCCTAGCTGATTGCTTGTGCAACTGAAACCACCAATTGATTGAGACCCGACAAAATGTCCACATCTCGCAATGCCAGCAAACAAAACACGACCGTGACAATGCTGTGTCGGCCGGAGGGCTGGACTATTTGCCCCACCAGGGCTGATTGCTCAATGTAGCCATCAGCAGAACACCTGCGCCGTGTCAAACCAGACAACGTTCACTACACTGTATCTTTCTAAGCTTGTCATTGGGAGTGTCCTTGTGCCAACAGGCCGATCCTAGCTACCATCAAGCAGTATCATAAGTCTGCACTAGCTGCAATCGAGGCTACTTGACTGAAGACCGAGATGTGGCATGCCCCTGCCCCTAACTTACCTCGGAACTTGGTCAGACCACTCCAACTTACTTCGTTTGCATGGGTATCTCAATAGTCAGGGAAGTTGAGGTTTTTGAGGATGACGGACCAATAGACAGGTCATTGTGAGGTGGTTTCGCCCAGCTCACTCAGGAGAGTATGACTCATATTCAAATAGTCTCAGTCTATCCCAATGCAAATCCTCGAAAGGCCTGCCGGGTTTCCAGGGGTAGGGTCCGGGTTTACAGGCTTCCGGTCGCCTTAGCGCCATGAAATCTGACCTGAGCAACCCTTTAACCCCAAGAAGCAAAGAACAAGCTCTAGTAGGTTTGACCAAAGCGAGACAAACAGCTCACACCCATCCCGCAAGAAGAAAACCGCCTATCCGAATCCGAAGCTTTGAAAGAACCTCCCCCGATACCAGCATTGCCGTTGCAAGACTTGTACAAACGACTAGGCCCTCACCGTAAAAGAGACCCCAAAGGGTGCTAAAATTAAAACAAAAAAGATGCTCAAACATATGGCCATCCAAGTCAATAGGGAGCCCCATCCAAACTGGTTGGGCAATCCCCAATATGTCCACCAGAGGGTTTAGTGAAATTCACTGCCACAACCCTCCCAATGGGACTCTCGCCTGGCCATGGTGTCTCCATAGTCCCCCTGGCAGGCGCTGCCGCAGCGCCCGCTCACCGCCACGCAGCGGTCGTTGAAGGGCGGCGGCGCCACCTTCTGACCTCGGAGATACGGCTCATTTGAGAAAGACACCAAAACAAAATCTGAGGTATTCCGCTTGGTATCACTTCAGAAACCAAAAGACAGTTCCCCCCACCAGAAAAAACACACCCCTTTCGGGTCGATTTGCCCCTCAAACCCCTGCCCCCAGTGCTGCCATAGGGTCGATTCTGCCCCCAAAACCACTACCCACAGGATGAAGTAAGATTAACACGATCCAACACGGCTTCACCACCCCTAAACCACGTTCCTCTCGTCCACGGTGCCATTGAACCTGAAAGGGGGGGCCCTGGCTTATTCCTCTCAAAATGACCCCCTCTGGCAGGTTCCATGCAAGTCAGGTGACATTCATGTTGGTGGACGGGAAGGCACCGCCCATGTTTTAAAGAGATACGTCTGCCCCGATCGGTTGGTGGCTGACTGGGTCCGGAGAAAATATCTAAGCTGGGGCAGGTGCGTAGATGAGTGGAACGGCGGGCAAGGAGGGAACACAAGTTGAGAGGCCGAACCCTGGCTGAGAAACCATGCAAGCGCTTAGAACTAAAACAAAATATAGCAGGAGCAACAAGAATTATCAATGGGTGCTGAAGACGAAGAAGAAGGAAAACAAATGAGGTCATCCGAAAGGAAACAATACCAGTGTCGGTGGTGAAAGGGACGCATCACACATCCCCATACACCAAGCGAAGCAAGTCCAAGTCAAGCCAAGCCGAGCCCAGCCAGAAAGCAAGCAAACGAACGAACGAACAAACAAACCAAACAAAACAAAACAAAACAAAACAAACAAACAAACAAACAAACAAACAAACAAACAAGCAAGCAAGCAAACAAAAAGCAACTCACAAAAAAACAAACACGCCAAAGAAACAATCAAACAAACAAAAACTGACTGACTGCCTGCCTGACTGACTGACTGACTGGCTGGCTGACTGGCTGACTGACTGACTGACTAAACAAGCAAACGAGCAAACAAGCAAACAAACAAGCAAGCGCGCAGGCAGGCAAGCAAGCAAGCAAGCAAGCAAGCAAGCAAGCAAGCAAGCAAGCAAGCAAGCAAGCAAACAAACAAACAAACAAACAAACAAACAAACAAACAAACAAACAAGCACACAAACATACAAGCAAACCATCACACATACATACAAACAAACAGCAAACAGCAAGCAAGCAAGCAAAACAAACAACAAACAAACAAACAAACAAACAAACAAACAAACAAACAAACAAACAAGCAAGCAAGCAAGCAAGCAAACAATACAAACAAACAAACAGGCAAACAGGCAAGCAAAAGGCAAGCATACGTACCGACAAGCAAGCACACAAAGCGAGCGAGCAAGCAAGCAAGCAAGCAAGCAAGCAAGCAAGCAAGCAAGCAAGCAAGCAAGCAAGCAAGCAAGCAAGCAAGCAAGCAAGCAAGCAAGCAAGCAAGCAAGCAAGCAAGCAAGCAAGCAAGCAAGCAAGCAAGCAAGCAAGCAAGCAAGCAAGCAAGCAAGCAAGCAAGCAAGCAAGCAAGCAAGCAAGCAAGCAAGCAAGCAAGCAAGCAAGCAAGCAAGCAAGCAAGCAAGCAACAACAAAAAGAACATGCAAAATAAACTGCAAACATGCAAGAAAGCAAGCGAACAAAAAACAAACAGAGCAAACGCGAATTGAAAAACAGCACCGAAAGCATCGCCACGATCGCTGCAACCTTGGCGCCTGCTGAGAAGTTCACGAAGTCGTTGCCCTTGTCGTAAAGGGTGCTGTTCACCGCACAGGCCACCAAGTACAAGGGGCCTCAAGGTGAGAAAGAAAGTGGACAAAGGTGCGAGCGAGACAGGGTATGCACTACAATGTAGAATAGGAGCACCCAAGCTTTGAAAAAGTGAGAGGAGGGCAGCTTGCAACATGGTGCAGGCTGGCCACCTACATCTGCCGGGTTCAACTGAGCTTGCTGCTCAACCTGTTACTACTAACAAAATTATTTCTGACAGATTAACTGGTCAGCACCATGTCTGTTGAACACCAACCGGGAAACAGAAGGCAGGCGTCCTTTGGATAGCCGAGCTCGTCCCTATGTCCCCCAAAACAAATCGATGCTCACCAGGGCCCCCACCCTGAGGTCCATAGCACCAGTCCGGCATGATGTCCACGCGGCTGGGCTGACGCAACACCATGGCCTCACATTCGCGCCCAGCCCCAGAAAAGCACAAGAGATCTCAAAACCTGCTTTCATCCCAGGCCTGCTTGGTGAAGGCGTTCAGCACCGTGGAGCCGTCCTGGAAAAATCAGTAGGCGGCAACGGCTGTGAAACAATCGGATTAAATCTTAAGCCCGCCAAGCAACAAGGGATCACAGGTGCTGCTGCAAAACTAACCATCGAGGCAGATCCGACGTGATGCAACCTCCAAAAGGGGGGCTACTTGGATTACGTCGAGTGCCAGGAACACTAGCAGTGTTCCCCATGTCAAGACCTACGTGGAGACGGCACAATCAAAATCTTTCTCTGTTCTTTGAGCGCCTGTGTCCTCTGATTGAAAAAACACCTGGCCCAAAAAATCCAGGCATCTCCTCATGTATCCAGGCCGGATGCTAGCATCGCCCTCGGCCCTCGTTTCAGCTCCCGCCTCATCCTCAAGCTCGTTGGGGGACTTGGTGGGTGTATTCGCCAGAATCGGGAGCTCGAACTTTCCCGTGTCCTCACGCGGCAATTCACGGGGAGAGACTCGCCCCGGAAGGTCTGACACGACCAACCCACAAGGAAACCAAACCTGTGAGCAGGTCTCCGTCTGAAGTCCGTGAGCAAAAAGCAAGACCCAGCAGAACCCTCCAACATCCAATCACCAAACCCTGCACCGCAACCCCTCCTGCATGTACAGCTTCTTCCACACCCCTGTCTGCTTCACCTCAGGCCAAGGCTTCGCCCCGAATCATCCAGATTTGCACATCGCAGCTACGTCCAGCTGAGTTCTCGGGCGGTGGAGCTGAGCATGACCACCCGGGGCTGATTCAGCACGCCTTCGCCCTCCGGCATGGCACCCCCCTCCAAGGTCACCTTCATCCGCGGCAGGGACTGGTAGATGCCTCAGAGGAAACTTTCAGACCCGGTGGTGGACGGGCACCGGTCTACCTTTCTTTTGTGCGTCGCTTTGGTGGGTGAATCGGGTTGTAGACTTCCTTGGAAACTTAGACGGGCTGCCCCAAATATGTCTCCATGATATTCACCACACACGCAAGCACTTATGCCACCTGGGCGCGCGTCGGCGAGGCAGATTCGTCCAGGCTAAGGTCCATATCGCTGCCGACGGGGTTGGGGTCCCATTTGCACTGGGGGCCTGTCGCAAGCCAAGGGCAACACATGAACTGGAGTATTCCTTAAAAAAGCTCCATGTTCGAAGGGTGACGTGGTGAATGAACCCAATGTCACTCGGCAAACGACGATGACTTCACAACCCGAGCTCGGCAAAGCTGGACATCCCGCCGGGGACCGGGCAGTTCCAATGCTGGAAATTGTTGGGGCTCGTCATACAGCTGGTGGTGTCCCCTTCCAGGCACTCCTGGCGGCTTGCCGCAAGGACCCAAGGACTCCAAAGCTCGGGCTCAGCTCAGATCTGCTGCTTCAAAATGCTAGAGATTGATCACTGACCCCCCACTATCTCCAACATCCAAAAGACATGATCTCCAAAAAGAATGACACATTTCTGGGGAAATGGGCCAACCCCAATCTCCCCATCCGCATTCCCCCCTGCCTGCAGCTCGACGGTCCCCTGGAAGTTGGCCTTGGTATGGAGCCCCGCCACGCTGTTCTCGGTCACCTCGATGCCTCGAGAGAAAGCCGCAGAACGGAAAAAAGAAAGGCCAAAGGACATCTTGGTTCCCCGCGTCTCTCGCATTCCCACTGGCCCTGAGTTCCCCGCATTTTGGTTGCGTCTTCCCATCCATCCCCCCACCCCCCTACCACGCTACAACCATCCGGCAAGGCGAGGTGCGTCCCTGGGAGCACCCAGGCAGGCGATTGGGGGGGATGGCCGCGCCACAGGACCAGCCGCAAACGCCCCCCGCGGAGCTGCACAAAGAGCCCACCTTGTCCATGGTCCTTGGCGGGAGGTGCGGACTTTCAGCCGGGTTGGGCTGGTTGATCAAGCAAAGCCTTCTGAAAGTGGGACTAATGCATCGCTTGGGTCGCTTCATCAGGATCCCGTGTCAACGAGGGGGAATCCCTCGGCCACAAGCCCACCTCTTGCCCCCCCCCTCCGAGGCGCAGGGTGTCCGCTTTCGAGAGCTGCTCAAAGTGGTCCATGCGCCAGGTTACGCACGCCAGTACGTATATGCCCCCTAGCACCTGGCGGTGAATTTCGAGAGGAAGCTTTCGTCTACCAGACCACCAGGCAGGTTTGAAACCGAACTGCCACCCGAGTTATCGCAAATGTGAGCACGGGCATGCGAAGCATTTGTCAGCGTTCCAGGGCACCTGGCACAGTTCCACTGTCAGAGTACACTCCCAGCCCAACTCAACCCCCAACCGGGGAAAATGCTGCCTGTCAGCTTCCTGCCTCATCCAGGTCCATCGCCTTTTCCGGCGGCTTCGTACAGGCCTGGCAACAAGGTTACATATCCTGACTCAACTTGACTTTTTCCTGTTGGCCAGGTGCCTTGCCCTAGCTATCGGCGTGGCTCGCGTCGCGAGGGATTCACCACCTCAGCCGCCGCGCCTCGGTGACGTAGAGGTAGTTCCCTGCGGCCGCCTTCTGCTGTGCGGCCCAGAAGGGCATGGGGGAGGCGTGGCGCCGGTCACCCACCACGTACCAGTCCTCCGTGCCAAGGGAACCCAAAGATGTTGGCAGTCTCAAGCCAACCCACCTAGAATAGGTTTGGGATCTCGGACAGCAGGCTTTGGTGGGTCCCAACTCTCCAAATTTGGTCCTCAATATCAGCTTTTCAGCCACCATGCTTGTTTGAAGAAGACGGTTGCATGGCCGCCCGGCGAATCGCTTGGGCTGATCCCCAATACACCCGTCGGACTTTGGGGGGGGGGAGTCCTGAACAAACCGCAAATGCACCAGGGCACGTGTCAAGTGCATGGAGCGACCCCAAGGAGGCGGTCTTCCTTCGGGCCTCCGCTTAAACCAATCTGACGGCACCTCCGTCCGAATCGATCCGAGTCCTGAAAGTCCTCCGAGGCCAGGAGCACTGGGTACACCACATGGAGACCCTTCTCCAGGAGCTCCGGGTCGTTCAGAGTCAGCCCGACCTCCAAAGAAGCCCACAGAAAACCGAAGGGCTGCGCGGGGGAAAAAAGAAACCAGGGCCTTTTTGGCCCAAAAAGAATGCAAAAAAGAAAGTGGGGGGGGGGGAACACGCAGTCATTGACACCACGAGGGCCCATTCGACGGTCCGAATGACCCCCGGGGGCCTCAAAGGCCACCTGGGTCAAGGTGTGCTCGCCCGAGGCCACGCAGCTGTAGTTGCAACTCTCCCCGCTGCTGGGGATGGGCGTGATCTCGATGGGCCTGGCCCCCATGGCCCCGTGAGAGCTGAACCCATGCGCACGGCTTCGTTGGTGCCCCTTTTCGAGGTATCTTTCTTGATCCCTCGCTGCGCTGGAACGCCTTGAGTCTCTAGGGCTCTACCTGCACTCTCAAGTCGCACGAGCGGAGACTGGCCGGTCAAAAGCCAATGCCAAAGAGAGCCTTCCCCCCCCTAAAAAACTGCCGCCTCTTACCGCCCGAGAGGGCGACGGCGCGCCCCGCCGCGGTAGGCAGCACCGGCCAGCTGGGGTAGTCCTCCCCGGGCAGGCGCTTCGACCATCCAAAAGGAGGTAGGCACCCCTACCAAAAAAAAAAACGGGTTGTGTGTGGTGTGCCTCCAAAAGGTGAAGAGGGTAGCCTGCTTTGGACTCCGCTTGTTACTCCACGGCGCGCGCCGAAGGTGGGTTCTGGGGGCGGATATATGTCACTCATGTTGAAAAAGCCAATGGAATGCCTATGTGTCACTGCAAGGTGCGGTCCCTCCAAAATGGGAACCACAGTGACCGTTGGATCTCGGTTTGTAGGTGATGGTCTGATCTTTGCCTCCAGGAAATCGGCATGGATTGACTGGTCGTAACCAAAGATGCTTTAGCTTGAAACCGCCGGTGGTGGAAATACTCAAATTGCTTCACAAAAGCCTGGCCGGCGATATTGAAAAAGGCCGCCAAAACAAAGGACACACATGTCTACGTTGAAACATGACAAACCTCCTGCATCGAAATGTGTTTCCATAAACCATGACCACTAGCATTGAGTCCGGCAAACCCGCATCCCAATGATTGCGCTGTCAAAGGCTCTGCCCCCTTTCCCATCGGCATAGGGCCACACACCGGTTTGTGGATGCTCGGGAGAAAGCGATCCGGGTCCTGGTTCCAATACCTTGTTGGCATAGGGCTGGTCACCAGCCATTTGGCCCACAAGGGAAAGACCAGGAGCCAAATGAAAAATTGGCAGATCTCGGCAGGGGCAGGCGATCCCGCGCGGTCCTGACGCCTGTTGCCTCCTTCGCCAGACTGTTGGCTCCCGGAATGTGAAGCCAGAAGAACATCCACCAACTGAAAGGGGGCCATTACTCAGAGACACTCATGTCGGTGTTCATGACAATGGATCGCACTGCACCGAAGGCGCTGTGAGGCTACGTGAAGCCATGAATTAGGCACCCTTCCCTCCAACCCATCCCCGCACGCCCCCACTTGCAGCCAAATGCACATAGCAGCTATGGCAGAAGCAGCTGGCTGTACACAGTGGCCTGCAGCACCTGGCAGGAAAAGGCCAGGAAGCTTGACCAAACATAGCCCCACCTCAGCTCAATGTGGAAAAACGAACCTGGCTGCTGAATCAAAGGAAAAAGACCGGTATTGGCCACCCCCCCCTCTTACCAGGAGAACCCCTGACTCAATGTTCCGGCGCCACCCTCGCCGTTGCTTGAGGTTCACCAGAGTATGGTCCATCTCCTCCATGTCATCGCTGTCCTGTGCTCTTCTCAACCCCGAATGAACTGGGGCACTTCCCTTCTACCTTTGGGGCGTCTGTTGGGGATGAGGCTAGGGAGCTGGAGCCCAACAGCTGGAAGCATCTGAGGCCCCTCCATAGTTGGTAACAACGAAACGTAAGGAACGACATGGTTGTAAAAGAGGTCCCGTTTTGACGCCAGCTGCATTCCTTGCGGGAGTGCCTAGGATTTCTTTGAGGTCTCAACCCCCGCCCCCCTCCTCGGTATCGGCTGTGCCGGTCCCTGAGCCAGACTCCGTGCCGGAGACCGGCATGGCGTCAAATGGCCCGCAGGCGGCCCCAGGAGAAGCGCTAGGGGTCAAAATTGCGCTCTTGGATGCTGGTGCGGGGTCTGGTGGATCAAAACAATTGTCGGGACAATTGTTTTGCGAGTCAGGTTGTTGTGTTTTACTAACACGCCGTGGAATGGAATCTAGAGTCTGGAACTGATGCGAACAAGCCTTGAGCCGTACTGTAGTCGCTGCAAGCCGTCACCAAGTCGGCTGCAAAACTCCGTGCAGATCAAGCTCCCTTGCACTCTTTCATATCTCATGTACTCTCAGACAATCTCAGAATTGAGAAACACGCCATGGCCTTCCTGCTGCCGGAATACATACCAAGCCAGGCCAAGCTCAAAATCGAAGCTCTCTCATGCAGACTTCGGGAGAGTTGCCCCTTTCTTTTCTTCTTTTTGCCGCGGCCCCAGAGGCGTTGAAGACAGCGGCAGAGGGAGCAGGGTCTTCCGCCCGAAAGCCTCGGGAGAACCGTTGGCTGATTTCTCGGCCCGCTTGGGTGCCCCCAAGCCGAGACCGAACAAGTGTCGATGCAGTCTCAAAGGCCTGTGACTGGGCCCTGCTGAAGTTAGAAAAAGGCCGTCCGACTGCGACTGGAAATCCGCCTTCAGGAAAACGAACTTGCAACCGAAAGGACCCAGTCATTTGTCCATGCAAAGAACACCTCTCCACAGCTGCCATGCCGGGCCTCAGCGTCAGGAGCGCAGGGCGGCGCGACGCTCCGCCTTCTGCTGCTCGCTGAGCTTCCACTTGGCGCGCCTACCCCACTGCGTGGACAACCCGAGGTCAGTGGGCTCCCTGTCTGCAGCTCAAGCCGATTCCGTGTTTTGGGCATTCGCTTCTGAAACACATGCGGGAATGCTGGTCAACATCATCTCTTCACTTTTTGGCAGCTACAGTTGAAACCTAAAACAGTGCAAGTAGTGCGATATCCTTCAAGACGTAGCAACCCTCCATGCCTGCATGGCTCTCTAACACAGGCCCCTCGCCCAGCGCCTGATCTGCTCAAGCCGGTAGCCCTTCTCACTTGCCATGTGCCTGGGGCAAGGACAACTTGACTCCAAGAATCGGCCTGCTTTGGGGAGCGGATCCATGCACATCAACACGATGTGTTCGTCTCAAGACGGCGAAGGCTGGCAAACCAAAGGACCCCGACACGACACCCGCTGTTGGCCCCTAGCCCTTGCTCTTGAGCTTCCTTGCCTCCTAGATCTGAGCTCTTGTTGCTCGCGGCCTGCCAGGGTGCCACGAGGTGTGGCTGGTTTCTTGTTGCCCCAAAGATAACTCCCAAAAACGGTGGACTGGTGCAAGGTTGACCGGAAAAACGGACTTCATGCTATGTGCTGGCTTGCCTGGCTGACCACACCTTTCTCCCCCCTTCCCTGATGGCCTTGCCTTTTTCGGCCGCTTCGGTATCCGCTTCTGTCTGAAGAACCCCAACACGGCACCCAACAAAGAACCCACGAAGAAGTTGGACAGTTGTGTTGGCCAACCGCGCCTGGGGGCTTCATCTTATTCCAGAGCTTGTTGTGCTTCCGCATTGCACCCTCCTGCCAAGTGTCGCCCCGCTTCAGCGCCTCCTGGAGACGGGCGAGAGTTCAGGTGACAGAGAGGCCGAGGCGTTCCGGAGAAACACAAGCGAACTGCCCGAAGCGGGGGCTTCAGTTGTGCTTCCCCAGCCCCCGATTCGCGCGATTCGCGTGGCCCCGGCCCCGGCCTCGTGCACCAGGATGCGCTTGCGCTTCGGCTTCACCGGCATCTGCTTCAGCTGCACAGGCACGATGGGATCGTAGCGCTCCTCCTGAAAGCCGCAGGATGCCGCAAAGCAGCAAACCACGCCACACAGGCCACCAAGTGCACTGACCACTCACAGGCGGAAATATGCATGTTAAGCACTTCACAGGCGGAAGAAGCCAAATGAACGAATCAATCCCAACGCCGAACCCACTATACCCCACAGATTTCACCTTGGCCGGCCCTCCCGCCTTGAGATATTCCAGGTGAGGCTCCCACAGCCAGGAGGGGCCTCAGTGGAAAGCTCGCACCCAAAAACTTGTTTGGCTGTTGAGCCACCAAAGGAGACCAGGATAGAAATCACCCTGCGAAGCGGATCCCTTTTTACACCCTCGCGTTGAGGGTCGAAAGCAGAAAGGAGGACAAACCCATGAAGGATCCCAAACAGGCGACAACTGGGTAGGTGCATATGTTCATATTTTGGTTGGAGGGGCTCCCTTTGACAACATCTCCCCTAAGTCAAAATGCCCCTTTTGGTTTCAACACATTCCCGTGTGCCACCCTCCACCAGGGCGCCCCACTCTCCGCCTCTGCTAGCTGTGGCTCCTTTTGTGCAAAGCGCTGCAGCAGCGGGTGGGTCTTCTTCCTCGAAGGCAAAGGAAGGTTGCCCCGAGCCGCGCGAAGCCCTGGAAATCTGTCAGCCCTCGGCCCCTCAGCCCCCTTCGGCACACTTCGGCACATCTGGGACCCCGGCTGCGCTGCGAGCTCGGGCCTCCCGGGCATCACCGGGAAAGCAGTGCGGCCCGGGCGCTCCGCCAGCGCCTGGGCCTCAAGCTGACAGTGAGAGAGAGCCACCGTCTCAGGGGACCCCCAGTGGGGGATTCTGTGTGTGTGTGTGTGCTCGGCCTGCAGTTTCGAGACGCCCCGGTTGGAGTTGTGATGTCAAGATGGCTCATGGATGTTATGATGCATTCAGTGTGAAATGTGGACCCCAGACCAATTTCCCCCACGCCTGGGTGGAGCGCACCATCGTGCCCTCCGGCTCGGGCTCCTGCAAAGCGTAGCTTGCCGCGTTCATCGACATCGGTCTGCCAAGGGACATGGTGGAGACTGGTGAGTTGAGTGCTGCGCATCTCTTTGGCGTCGTTTGGCGTTTGAGCAGTGACCATCATTCACAGAACCGGGCGGGGGCTTCCCACCTCGAAGTTTGACTCGGGCTCGTCCGACTCGGAGGGCTTGGAGGGCGCCTACCCGAACCGAGCCATGGATGGCGGGGTGGTGGCGGGGGGGGGGTCTGCCCCAAGCTGAAGCAGGGGAAGTGCGGATGCGGGCAACACGTCGTGCAAAACGTCCTGCTCAGAACTTCTAATCCTTCAAATAGGCTCGGGACCAACCAGCCACGGTCATTCCAACCAGTTCCTTTCACTGGCCCTGTACCACAGGAGCGGCTGCCCAAACCTGCCTCCAGCAGAAGCGGCTCCGTGGAGCCTGGCACTTGAAGTGGCCCCGCAAAACGACTTCCCTCAGAGCCAAATGGCAAGCAAAAAACACCTTCTGGGACTGGCCCACTTTCACGGCTCCAAATGGGTGCGGCTCAAAAATAAAGAACTAGGGTTACGCCGGTGTTAGTCTTTGGTTCCATTTACCAAGGTGCCATTCTGGAACATTTATTTGAGCCACAGCCAAATGGCTGGACTGTTTGGCCATGGCTCCAACCAGGGCCGACACCCTGGGGGATGAGCTCGTAGGCCTCCTCCAGGGAGAAAACCACCTGCCCGCGCTGGCAACATTCGCGCGACGTGAAAGGAGTCCTGGCTCCTTACTCTGATTCGCTTTTGTTGTCAAACAGAGAGAGAGAGAGAGATAGAAGAAGAAAAAAAAGAAAAAAGAAAAAAGAAAAAAACGAGACAGGTTGTCCTTCCAAGCGCGACAATGCGCCTCGAGACCTCGCACCCTCAGCGCCACCGGGCAGGCGGCGTCCAACTGCGAGGGCACCGGCACCTGGCAAAGCGCCAGCGGTAGCCCAGGGTTTGGGCCGTTCTTGTTTGCCAAAACTTGGGCCCCTGGCTTTTTGTTGTTTTGGGGCCTGGTCTGTTGTTTCCGGGCGAACATTGGGGGCCATTTGGGCGACCTGTCGTGCCAACGCGGCGCAGGTTGCGCGTCCGGCCTCGTGGGGCAGGGCCGTGTCGAACTGGACAAACTGGCCAGGGAAAAGGCCTCTGCTGGTTTGCATGGCATCCAGACTTAGCAGGCACTGCCAACAACAAGCGCCAAAACCGCATGATCCGAGAGAATGAAAAGAGCAAAACCATGAGAAGCATGCTGGTTATGGTTCAAGAAGAAGGTTGGGATCTGTCACAAGGTTGTAAAGGAGTCCTTGCAGGGACCTGTTGATCAGTTTTGAAGGTGGTACCGACTACACTTCCGCAGCGTTAAGCAAATGTAAGCATTGCTGAATGTAAACACATCGAACTCCCAAAGAAAGCTCCCAGTCCCGCTCCACACCAGAAAACTCAACTCCGGCACATCAACCAATGTGATATGTACTGCTGGACCAGGATTGATTGGCAGAGTAGTGGTCAAGTCCCAGCTCAATTGCGCCAAAAAACATGGTGCATGAACGCTGGTGGAACACCCTCAACATGGAACGCCCCCTGCGTCCCACGCAACCATTTTAAGCAAGGTTCGTCGGCTGTCATGCCACTTGATGTCGCGGCGTACCACTCGGAGCATGCGGTAGGCGTCCTGAGCGTGGCAAATGGGAGCTGATGCTTCTTTTGACTCCAGCACGTCCCATTCTGGCTAGTTGCAAGATAGGGCCATGTCAATTTACCTGTGAACCTATCACCTGGGGTGGCCAGTGCGAATTGCTATCGTCGCAGGATCAGCTTAGCAAAATGCAACATAAGTGGCATGGCAGTGTTTGCCCCTTGCCTGCTCCTCGGAAGGGATGATGAAGCCTTCGCCATTGGCCTGTCTATCCAGACTTCCTCTCAAATCATAGGTGAAGGGAAAAATACATACCGTATCTGTCCGATGCGTGAATGTATGTATGTACAATGTGTTTGCACAAATATACAAAGAAGGAGAGGGAGAGAGATTAGTATTAATGTGCATGTATGGACTAAACATTTCGGAACAGTCCAAGCGACCGCATTCGTTCTTGACCAATGGCGTCAAGTGACCAGCCTCGTCCCACTCGAACACTACACCCGTCTGCATGCGAAGCATGCTGGGGTCGGGGCCTGGGAAGGAGCATCGTACTGACATCTACCAAGTGAGCTGACAAGTGTCCATGTCATTGGACGACTTGAGGGAGCTGTGTTCGGCTCACCAAAGCCCGTACAGCTCTGGGCTGCTCCCTAGCAGAAACACAAAGGGGATCCTTCACTTTCGGGCGAACCACCCCCATTCATCTGACTGGCTTTGTTAATCTGCGGTTTGTGGGACTCAAGCTGGGGCCAGGGCTTTGAATGATTGTGGTGTCCAAGTAGGTACACCTGGCCAGCATCCGAAGCCAAACAAATCAAAGGTCCTTTGCCTGCGGGACCACTGGCCTTCTCAGCTGCAACACACCAAGCTTGAAGACTCAATGTGCGCCTCGCCCCCTGCACGGTGTCCCCGGGTATCAGCTTGTCCTGGAAAGCGCCACTGCGCTCGTTGGGCAGGAAGCCAAAGACACCGGTGGTAACATCCTGGCGAGGGCTGTTGGAGCAAGTAAAAAGCCGCCAAATGGCACAAGAAGCACCAAACCGCCTCCCAATGCCCGCCCAAGTCAGCCAACCCGCACCAACCCACGCCAAATCCCCCCATGCTTCTGCGCCTGGACGATGGCACCGTCCTCAGTGACCTCTTTCACCAGCAAAGAGAAGTCGCCTTCGTAGAGCTTCCTGGCCCCAGATCCTGCCTGCCTCTCAGCCCTAGACCTTTTTGGGGAAGGGCAAGGAGCCAGGCTGTGTCCATTTGCAACAGCTCACATTGACATGGCTCGCCCCATGAAGAGTCTGGCTGAACCCATGCTTTGCGAAACAACTCCCGTCAAGAACCTGCCGGCAGCACTGCTGCTCCAGAGTCTTCATCTGCAGGTGCCAATCCGGTACTATGCCTGAAGTGTGCCGCTGGCTATGTTTCCCTGCTTCGCGACGGATGGATGACGCTTCCGTCCACTGAAACCAGAAATAACGTTGTGCGCAGCACAAGTGGCCCCTTAAACTGAATCTGCCGCCTTTCCTTCCAAGGCCCGAAACTGCAGGACTCAGCGATGTGTTGCTCTGACCGGTCAAAGGGCTTGAGCCCGGCACGCTGGTAGTGGGAATCCTTCTTGTGAAGGTATCTGCGCGCGCCCAATGCTGATGGGCTCAGGTGTTTGTTAGTTTGGCCTGGGCACTCATTACAAAACAGAAAGGAAAGTTCCACCTTGGCTACCGGTCCCTTTTGCATGAAAGGCAAAGCAAGTCACAAATCACACGCGCGAAGCAAAACTCTTTGGTCAGGGCAGCTCCGCATGAGCTGCAGGTTCAAGGGAAATGTTGCAACAAGCCGCCAAAGCAACGCGACTCCAAAGGGAGCACCATGCGCCTGCTGAGCGGTCGCTCGACCGGCTCTTGCAAGATCGACACGTCGCCGGCGCTCCTTAGGCTTGAGGGAAATGTCCTTGAGCTCAATGAGCCCGAGAGTGGAAAACTTGTTTGGTGCTCCCAAAAGGCCCAAGCGAAACGGATCTCCAAATTCCTACATGGGGCCTCACATGCACAAATGGCAATGCACGGCCGAAAGCCAAGAGCCCGGCTGCCAGCGGTCTGTGGAGGTGGAGGGCGTTCGGGCCTCAAGCGGTTGCGATTGACCCTCGCCGCATGTCGCGTCTCGCATGATATGGCTGACCGCTGCTAACTGATGACGGATGACTCAGGCTGGTCACATTCTAAGCAACCCTCTATGCTCCTCCTCTCCGCTCAACTAGGTTTCCCAATAGGTTCCGGACCAGCTTGCTGGACACAGGCGCCGGCAGCAAGGCACAGGGCCCCAGCCTGGGTCGCACAAGCCTTTCTCTGAGACCGCAAGCCGCACTGATTGCGGTCAGGCGTCTCAACTGGAAGACTGTCAAAACCTTGCACCACTTTTCCTGCGCACCGAGTGCGGTCACTTGGTGACCCGCGCGCCGGCAGCTGATGTGGCTTTGACCAGCTCTCCCCGGCTCGGCTCAAAGGAGGCCCCGCAGCACGCACACGAAGACGCACAGGATGCAGCCGTAGATGCACCCCGTGGTCTGGACAGAGGCCAGATTGACAAGCACTCTGTTGCGCGCGCACACAGACAAGACAAGGGTAGCGACTGATCATACTCCAGAAAAATGAGCGGAGGCTAGCTTTGACGATCAGCGAGCAACCCAAACAAAACGGCTCCCACCGCAAAACCGTCCAATTCGAAGGTCAAATCCATATTGCTGGTGACGCTTGTGGATTCAGCACATTCGCACGCAAACCGTCTTGGCTAGGGAGCGGTGAAGCCAAGCCTTGTGCGAATCCCAAGATGCTGACTTCAGCAAAGAATGAAGCTTGGATGCTCAATTGCCTCCTCCTCCCCGCCAAAATGTCGTCCGAAGATCTGAGACTTCTGTTGGGGCCCATGTTTCGTAACACGTTCGACTTATCCGAAAAGGGGGCCCCCCACCCGAACCCAAAAGCCTGTGAAATCAAGTTCAATCCCCATGGCTCAAACAATGTCGCTAGCTCTCCCGTGAAAAAGAACACTGATCAGCTTGCTTTTACCCTTCTGGGTCGGAGCTTGCACTGGCTGCCGAGTTGCCATGGAAGCAAACACCTGCTCCCTGGCAGCGGTTGGACGTGGGCTGTTCTTGCTTGAATCAGAATCTTGCCTGGCAAGATGGGTGTGGTTTTAACGGTGCACCCCTGATCCGTGTCCGTTCACTGATTTCCCAAAGCTAGGTGGACTCGGCAGCTGTCCACGCCAAGCTGGGGGGCTTCGATCTCACGAAGGATCCATTCTCGGTTGGTTTTAAAGGAAATCACCACCAAGCCAACCATCGGCCACGTGAACTTCGGCACCTCTCCAGGTCGCCGTGATTGAAGGACCACCAGCTCCAGTCCGTCAGAGTCTTATCTTGGCTGAAACCCCACCGAGTCTCGCCCATGTCGTTTTTCATGAATTCGCCAAACAAAACTTGTGGGACTGGGTACCTGCTCATGTGTCTTGCTTTAAGGTCCCCGTCTCTGCGATTGGGGAAACCAAAGCGAAGCCACTGATTGGAGATAAGCCCACGTCAAGACCAGCAGGTATGCAGGTATTACGGCTCTCCCATAAAAACTGGCCGGACTGCTTTTGGAAAACCCCTGCCACATACCACGTGAGCAAGTCGGGGTTCGCTGCAAGGCCAAGGCACCGCTCACTTGGCACACGTGCAGCAGCTCCTTCCCCAGACACTTGATCCTTGGGGACGCGCCCAATCCGGACGATCACGCCCTGAAAATGTCTGAGGATGGGCCAATGAGCGATGCCGCCCGAAACGGGTCAGCGGCAAGTCGCCAAGTCATCTCCAAGTCGGCAACTCGAAAGCAGCTTGCGATGGTTGTTTTGGCTTATTCATCCTTAGGTCCTGGCTACGGACCCAAAGTTGGGAAGGGGTGGACTTATGGCACAGTTGAACAGTCGGCCACAAAAAAAAAGCCGAGGCCCGGGCTCGGGGCCACCCCAGGCCTAAGGTCAGGCCACCCATGAGCCACTGCCCCAACGGAACGGCACCAAACGGTTTTGGAAGGAAGGACCAGGATGAAACCAATCATGGAGTCATGGAGGGCCCCTAATTTTGAGAAACACCGATACCTCTGTGAATGCTGGCTACAATCGCCTTGAAGCAAGCGCGAGATGCGAACCCCTCCCTGAGCTCCACTACAAAACCCGAACCAATCCGCCGATTTTCTACAAGTATGGGGTCAAAATCGCGGCAAATGGCTGTGGCTCAAAAAACCACCCTGGTAAGTGGAAACATGGACCAAAAGCGTAACCCCTGCTGTTCAATCTTGAGGCACACCCAAATGGGTGTGGGTCACAAAAATGTACCACACATGGCTGGAACCCTGGCAAAAATTTTGGTACATCTATTTGAAATCCATCCGCCAAATCCATCCGCCCAAACCCCGAGCCCCGGGCGCACTTCCGCAGCTCCGGCTCCTCGGGGTCTGCGCCCAGCGCCAGGCACTCGGCCTCCGACTCCTCCCGCACGGAGGACCGCAGTGGGCCGGGCCGGTGCCACGCGGCTTTTTGCCTTTGTTTCTCGAAAACAAAACAAGGGGTCGCTGAGCCAATGGTTTGACTTGGACAAACCTAGAGAGACTTGCTGATCTTTACCCAAAAGTGCTTGTTGCTCGCCCATGACGGATTCCCGGAACGGGCCTACAAGAGGTATCCTAGCAAACGAAGTGTAAAGGAAGCTGCTCCCACTCCTGGTTCACACAAGCACTGCGAGAGTCCATCGTAAAGGTGTCGAACGAGCCACACGTCTCCTAGGCTCCGAGGTAGAGTGCCCAAAGCTTCAAAGCTGCAGAAAGGGAGCATGCCAGAAAGGCTGGATGCACTGCAAGGACTCTGATTGGCATCACAAATATAAGCAAGAGAAGGGACGTGGTTCTTCCACACAAACCGCCTGATGCGCCCTCGACCTGACAGCATTTTGAGTCCGGCGCATAAGAGTAGTAGAGCGGCTTCTCACCGTATGTGGCGCCGGGGAAGAACGCGGATACCTCCCAACGCATGGTCAGAACCGCAGCAAATCATGGCTCGTCACAACAGTTGCCCGGAGTCGGTGTGCCGAACTGCGTGTGTGGCGCATGCCATGGTGCCCACAACTCTGCTGGCAATGGCTACATCACGAGACCATGTCAACTTCTCGGGCTCACCATCCCAAGAACCCAGCCCAAGCCCCCCAAGCTGCCGCGAAGCCTTCGGAGGCTCCACCAGGGCGCAGGCGCAGGGGTCCACGTAGCACCACCTCTTGTCGCACCTGACGTGTGCAAAAGGTGGAAAGGATGAGGCAGGCGGAAGGCATCCGTACGGCTTTCGCGACTGCTGACACATGCGCTTACACTGTGTCGGCTGCCTATGCGCAAATCAATCCCAGCAACCCCGTCCTAGTTGTCCACCCCCCACCAAATCTTGCTGATCCACTTTTGCCTTACACTGCATGCTGAGAGCCCCAAGCAAAGCAAAGCTAATGTCTTAACATCTAGTCTGTGTGGGTCAAGAGCGCAGCAAAGCCGCGTGAAATGTGAAAACTGCTAACAGCTTCAAAAAAGGAAGGTACCCCTCTTGAAAAAGTTGAGGTAACCTCCACAAAAGCAAGGGTCTCTTGACGCAATAATCCTGTTTGTATGGCCCTTTTGGTCAAAAGGGAAGCCAAAGAAAAAGTCCGCTTTGGGTGCGTGACGGACAGGCCCCCCTCTTCACAAGACACTTCCACAAGTCGCAGCACTCTCAGCACTTCCCATGTCTGTGCCCCTGGCCAAGCGGGGCGATCCTTGCCGCGGCAGGCGCCCTTCTCCGCGTCCCAGCTCTGGCAGCTGCTGCCCAGGTCCATTGGGTAGGCCGCCATCCTTCGGAAAAGTGGAGATCTGGATTTGAAAGCACTTCAATGGGGATTCGTTCCAGTCCCTTTGCCCATGATAAATCGGATAATTACTGTGGTGAGTATGCCACACATTCGTATCGTGGGACATTAAAAAGCCAGCGTCATTTCATCAACCTAAAGTAGATGATCATGAATACCTGGGAAAAATCATCCCAACGGGAAATAAGGAAACCCCAAGGCGCCGTCATGGTCGGAGAGCTTGTTTGAATTTGCCCAGAATGCTTTGGTTGGAACCTGCGAGCCCTCCTGCCTGCTTGCTCATGCTTGCTCGCTCATGCTTGCTCGCTCATGCTTGCTTGCTCATGCTTCCTCATGCTGGCACGTGCTTGTGCATGCTGCCTGGTTGCTAACTAGTTGGCCGCTGAACTGGCTGGCTGGCGCACTGGGAAACAAAACACTTTCAGGCAGAAGATCCGGAACAGCGTGGCTCGCCGCCCTGAAAAGGATCGCATGTTGCACAACACACTCCTGTCCGCACTCGGCGGCATTGTCAAAGTGCCTCGATAGGCCTGGCGGCCTCTCGTCTTGGAAGCCCTGTGGCCAATGTTGAATACCCCTCTTAGGTTATCAGGGGGACAAGGCTGTACCTTCCTATCACAACTTCAAACTACCTATGATTAACACTTGCTTTGACCACTGAAAGCCACGGGTAGCTCAAGAATTGTGTGTGCGGTCCTGAACCCTTCGTCTCCACCTTAGGTCGTGAGTCATGAGCGGTTTCCCGGCCCGTAATGCATAAACGCATAAACCTGCAGCCAGCCACAAGCGCTCGATTCCTCAATCAAATCGGCACTGGAACTTTAGTCACTGCGTAAGAGAGGAGAAAGGCATACAAAGGTGAAGCCATTTAAGACAGGTCCCAACCCGAACCCTCGCGCGTCGAAGATTGAGGCCCGAAGTGTGTCCTGCCCGCCACCTCCACAGAGACGTTGCCCTGGAGCCCAGCCACGCCAATGCACTTGCAGTGCTGGTCCCCGAACTTGTCCTGGGCTGTCGAAATCAGGTAATTAAGCCCAACGGGGCGACCTGCAACCGTTTGACGGGTGTTTGTGAGCTGCACCTTACTCAGAGCGAAGGCCCTGTGGGCTGCAGGCTGAGTCTGCTGGAGCGATGACCCCTTTCGAAGTCGAATATTACCCTGGTGTCGACGCGTCGGTGAATACAAGTGTCCTTCTGCCCAACACAATGCCCAAAAGCTTCGGCTTTCATAGGCATGTACCTATCATTTGTGCTTTTACACATTCCGGGAATTGCCACTTTGCCACATCATCTGAGGCTCCTCGTCAGCAGTGGCGTCACAGAATTTGGGGCGCTCGCTGCCTGCAGGGAGAGCACCCACCGCAAGCAACTGGTGACGATGTGACTCACACAACTCTGGGGCCAATGCAAGGATCTCAGCAGTCCCACCCCTCAACACCAGCCGCCCACAAAGCCCACCTGGCCACTCACCACCCCAAGCGCGCACGCGCCAGTGTGCGCATTCTCGCGCCTGGAAGCGGCTTCTTGGGCTTCGCCTTGCAAGTCTCCTTGGAGGCGAACACGGCGTGGCCCTGCCAAGTCAGCTGCTCTGTGGCCAAGGTCTCCTTCATGGTCACGTTGCCTCGGACATGCAACGGCGAAACCCGGCGCTTCTGCTGCGACGCTCATGGCTTTGCACCAGGGGGATTGTGGAGCTCACTACGTACCAGCCGTGTTTGAAGCTGCGCGGTTTCGGGTTCATTCAAAACCTCCCGCCCTTTCCTCTCACGGCCCCGAGAGCGCGGCAGCTGCACGGGTCCACGAAGCACCAGGGCTCACAAGCCTGACATCAAGCGCCAAGCGCTCGAAAGCTTGGGGGCCGCACCGGGAAGTTGGCCAAAAGAAAATCTGAGCCCTGGAGTTGGATACCCCTGAAAAATCCAGCTTGGCTGCTGGATGCTGCAAAAAGCTCCAAAATTCATCAACCCCAAGTTTGGCGAGACTCAAATTTGGAGTAAGCTCAGAGCTCTTCTTGGGATTTGTTTCGGTTTGTGCCACCTTTAGCTGGGGGGAGGGTCCGAAAAGGGATCCACGTTGACAACCGTCCAACACACGTCACGCAGCACCCACCCTGCGGCGCCTCCTCCTTGGTGCAGGTCCTGCGCGGCTGGACAAGGGCGACGCATGCGTGACGGGACGTCTTCCTGCGGTGCAGAAAAATACACTTGCGGAAGCAGAATTCCTTGAATCCCTCCCGCGACTAAAACAGGAGCGGCGATATCCCTTCCTTGACAATGAACCCTCTTGGGTTCCCCTCACACGAATACAAACAGGTGTCGAACAAAATTCGGGTCGCCTTTTGGTTTCCCGTCTGACCAGCCATGGGCTTCATCCATGAGCTATGCACCTTCCGCTTAAGCCCCCGGCCAGGCATCGCAATGGGCGCCCACGGAGCTGTTGAAGCGTTTGGTGGTGGTCTCAGGCGCGTGGAGGGGTCCTTCGGCCCTTGTGGCCAAGGGCCGTAGCCCGAGCTGACCCACTCGTTCCGCAAGTGTTCATGATTTGAGATGGGTCCCGGTCATCTACCAGTTCACAATGGACTTGCATAGTTCGCATGGAGCATGTTCAAGCATACATCCCGGCGTCGGGCATAGCCTTCAACTCCTTTGCTGTAAGCGCAAAAAAACCTCTTTGGCAGACTTGAAAAGGAAACTGAGATGCTTCACCCCTGGTGAGCCCTGGCCTGGCCACCCAAGCGCTCAGGCAGCTCCACACTCCTTCCACATGCGCCGTTGACCCGTGCTGAGCCCTCGTCATACGTGTCGGGACCCTGCACAATAAGTTGGTGAACTGCTTGAAGACACTGAGCCAGTTGCTTTCAGCAGGATTATTCCGGAACTCGATGCCACATGATTCAGAAGTTTTTCCAACACAGTCGGCTGTTCCAATCTTCTTCAGAACTTTGTTTCGTCCTGACCTCCCCCTCTGCGATTGAGGTCCGCATAGACTCTGCTGCTTGCGGTCTGCTTGAGACAGCCTTGACACTTTCCGTGTATTGAAGAGACAGGGTGGGCAAGTGCATATTTTTTGTTGAGGACCTGCAGGCTCACTCGGACGTCGAGTGTCTTCTGCTATTGCTTTGCTTGTGTGATTCAGCCGATCGGCTGAAGCTTTCACTTGGTGCCCTTGGGCAGCTATGTGCAGAGAGCTGATCATTCTCATACCGTAGCTGCGGCTTGAGCTTGCAAATGTTCGGAGAGCTGCAAAGTTTCGCTAGAAACAGGATTGCATGTATGTGTGTTGCAACAAAAGCGCTATTCCCAACTTTGCCAATGATTAACCCCAATTACCCATGTGGCCCCGTTACTTACTTGACTAACATTCGCCCCCTCCACCCACCCACCCCGCCGGTCCCAAGTACACCGTCCAAGCCAATGCATTTGCAGCCCGCAGCGCCGTAGTTGGTGGGATCTGGCACAGTGTGAGAGGCAGGACAATCACTCGACCCTTCATGAAGCGTCCACTCTCTAGGACCAGGAATCTGGACCTTCCGTCCGCTCGGGCTGTTGAATACTTGCATCGGATGAAAAGTGGCTGCAGAAACGCTTGTGCAACAAAACAACCTTGGCTACCTGTGATGGGCTCGTCAAATCAAGACCTTTGCCTGCTCTGCTTGCAGCGGCTGCAAGCACGTGTTCTTGCTGCGCTGGTCCCCAAACAAAGGAATCCATTCACATCAAAAGCGCAAAGACGCATTTCCATGAACGATCCCTCCCCACCAGGGCCCATAAATCTCCAGAAATCCGAAGTTTCAAGCCCAACCAAAGCCGCAAAGTGCCTGCCCTGAGCTGCACAGAGGAGGCAGCCTTCTGCAGCAGGCCGGAGCCTCGCGCCAGGACCCGGAAAGGGCGAAGGCGAGGTGGGCCTTGGATCCTTCGCCTCTGAATCCAAAAGTCGGAACTCATTCTGCGCATGGCACTGCGGCAGTGCCATGTCGCTTGGCTTTCCGTTTGTTTCTTTCAACACATTGACCCGAAGGCACCCACCCCCCAGGCTCCAAGCTTTGCCTACCGCTGCACAGCTGGTATCAGCGGCGGCCGAGCCTGCCAAAACAAGCTGTGTGCGGTATACTTTCTGAGTGCTATCCTTGGAGGCAGTTAAAGGGAAACCGAGGGGAACCACTCACTTTAGGATGTCCTATTTCGAGACAACCCCGCAAAGTCGCTTTGGCTACCTGTGGGGGCCTGAAAGGTGTGCCGACGTCTCGAAGCGTCGTCCTTGCCTATAATGAACGCCAGCCTCCTGGCCACTTGCAGTGGTTCAACGGGGTCACGGCAGAGATGCGGTGCAACAAGCGAGAGGCCAACCAGAAACCAGACTCAACACTTCGGCTTGATTGATCCCTGAAGCAAGGCTCCTGGCCTCATTCGCTAGGTCGCCCCAACGAAATGGAGCAGCATCATGGCAGGGGGTAAGGTTTCAATGTCGGAGCCATTGCGGCTGCAGCCTGCCTTTGCCAAAGGGCAATGTATGTGTGTGTTGGCGGTAGACTTCTTCTCTACTCTGAGCTGAAATCTGAGGCCGCTGCACACGTAGCGCCTGATGCCCAACCTGGGTGCAGGTACAAACTAGCTGCTATTGTGAAGCAGCCCTCTTTCCTCTCCTCAGAACAACGAGCTGGGGCTGGGAACAGCGACAACAGGTCCCTGTCGCCTTCAGCCAACCAACGCTTTCCGCAAGAGCCAACCCGGTAACCCGCCCCGTCGCTTGGGTGCGCCAGGCGCCCGCGCAGCACACGCCAGGCAAGCCAAACACGCCGAGGTGCGCGGCCTGGCGAGGTGAAGCAGTTTGAGGTCTTGGGCCCGAGTTGGAAACTCCGGGGCCCAACGAAACTATCCGTCGTAGCGCCAAAAACCTGGGTAAAAACCTGTCCGTCAAATTTAATCAGACTTGCAAAAACCTCCTCCGTCGTGGGCCTTAACACTTGGCAGCCCCAATGTAAAGCTGCGGACTCTAGGCACTTGCTGCAACTTCGGCATTGAGCAGAAACTGCAGCTACTCATGTCTCTTCTAGCTCTCGGCACTCGACAAGGCATAGGGCCAGCCTCAGGCCGCGGATTCTCATGGCCGTCGGCTCGCTCAGGGGTTCTGTGGGGTTGTGTGATCTTTGATGGTTTGAGTGCGGGTAGCCAATGGGCCGTCTTGCGCCATGCGCGCTCACGCAAAGAATGCCGGGGAACGGCGCTCGTTGTATCGTGCTCTTACATGACCTGCACGACATGTAACCGGGCATCGTGCTTTGAGCCAGCAAGAGAAGCGCATGGTCAGAGTAGCAGCCGTCCTGTGCGTGATTCGATTACCAACTCAGACAATACAAGAGCTTGAGACTCCTACAACCAATGCTCCGCCTTTGTAAAATCTAGCACCGGCCCGCATGAAGAAAACGTCTGCAGGTGCATGCCTCCCTGCCCTTCGCAGACAGCAGGGGCAACAATCTATCTTATTTGCTTCTTGGGCATGGGAAAGCCTTCGGCATCCTTCCCACAAGCCAAGGGTAATGTTGCACTGCCACGAAAAACAAGCCGAGAACCCATGAGTGGCTCGACCATGGCCGGGCACTTCGGGATCTTGCAGCGTGATCGCAAGTTCACCGCAATGGAAGCTCGGTCGGCTCGTGTTGCACACATCTTCGCGCGGAACACGAAAATAGTGTGCGCCACCCCGAAGTAGCGACAGCTGTGGCGACACAACGAGCCTGTTGCGGACCGAGCTTCCAATCTAAAACTTGAGATCGTCTCCATGACCCTGGCTGTTCGACGAGCTTGGACTTTCAAAGTTCCAAGGCTGCTTAGACACGAGCCTGGCATCCTGCTAGAAAATCTACAGGCGAGTCATGCCTTGATGGGTCAGGATGAGGTGTATATGAATGTGTTTGGTTCAACCACTGCCGATTGCGTCATCTTTCTGATGAAACGGTGCTGCCGTCGCTAGCCAAGAACATGTGGGCAAGTTACCTGAAGATTGAATTGGTGGAAGAAAGCAACTGCACCTAGGGTTGAAACCATGTAGAGGAGGTGATAAGGGGTGTTTAATAAATCGACACAAGCGAGGGCAATAGTTAGTTGTCGTGTTGATTGTGATCAGTCAGAGCAGCATCTTGTTTCACTTGCAAACACATCACCATTTTCCTTGTCAGGAATCGGTCATAACCCACACCACGTCGCTTCTTGTGGAACAAAAATCCAGTCCACCTCCTCACATTGACAAATTATCAAAATATTTAACAATGCCTCGTACACTGAGCTCCCTCTTGTCGGCGCACAACTCAGGTCAAGTGGTGCTGACGCGTTGCCTTTTGCCAGAAATACATGCTGCGCATGCGTTAACGCAGCAGCGACTCCATGATCTGCTTGCTTGGGCTCTGGGCCTTTTTGAGTCACATGGTAAAGAGGGGGAATTTCAGCCGACTTACCCGTCACAGGATAATTACCATAGCTTGAAAGGTCATGGGTCGCCTGTGTAAGCTCAGCAAAAAGGCAAGCACAAACAGCGGGGGTCGAGAGGAGGCTTGGATGCTTGGAGAGTTTTCACAGGCACGACTCTGCCCCGGCCCACCAGTCCCTCATGTTGTTCACGCAATGTGTCAACTCAAAGTGGGCCAGAGCACTCCACAAGACGCATGCCATGTCAATGTATGATCCAAGTGTTCCACGCCACGCTCTCTTCCCAGTACACTAAGCTGGGGTGAAACTGCTCGGCAAATATGTCCCACTGCGGAATCAGGGTGTGGAGTCGAGCTTGTGCGGAGCTGAAGATGGCCGCTTATGGCTAGGGATCAAGAAAGTGTGCTACATGCAAAGCTCTACACGTTACAAGTAGGGAACACGGATCTGCCAGTTGCCCGTGTGGTTCTCTCGCACCCAGGCATTCCACGGTATGGGAATCCGGAGCTTCTCCTCCACCGCCCGCAATGGCCCGCCGAAGCAAACTGCGGCAAGTGGCCACTTCGACACCGCTCATGGGGCTTGCCGGACGGAGTCATGGCGCCAGCACCTGCAACGGGATAGAGCTCCTGTTCACTTGCCCTTTGGAAGTGCTTGAAGATTAGTCGTGCTCGAGGTGCCTTGCGTCCCGCACACTTGTCATCGCTGGCAGTTCTACAAGCAAAGCATGGAGGCCAAGAACCAGAAAAACTATCGCACGACAAAATGCTGGGCAGAACGACTATCACCCGCCTCTGGGCAGCTGGCCTGATCCTCAGGTGTGCCCAGTTGCCAGCACAGCACCATCACCCCGATGCAAAGCCACAATGGCAAGAGTCCAACCTAATGTCAAGGGTCTGGATAGGGTGTTCATGCCAAGCTGTCCGCTTCCTCAACGCACTCATGGCCTGCCTCGCCTGTTGCTGGAATGCTGTCGCTTCCTCACACATCCCGCCCAAAGACTTCTGCCGAGGCTCGCTCCAGCAGCGACGGGAGGTCCGTGCGGCCGTATGTATTACGAAAGGCCGGAGCTTCAGAATGCCCTGGGAACTTACCGGGTCTGATAGCCGCCTCTAAGGGACCCTCGCCTCAGCCAGAAAGAACAATTCCGCTGACCCGAAAAAAAAACACCCTGACATCATTGGGGCTGCCCCCGAGACAAAATTGGGCTTCAGTACCCAGCGTTCGGGGATACCTCCGGTGGCGCGGGAGCCCACATCTCCCGGCCTCACATTAATAGTTGTTCCGGCGCAAGCCACAGCTCTTGGCAGTGTCCGAATGGCCTCACAAAAACTGAATTTGCAGCCCTTGGCCTCTTTCAGGTATCCTGTTGAACTGTGAAAGGGCAAGATGTGCTGCTGAGCCATCCGACTGAAAACCTGCCAAGCTGGCAGAGTTCTTCGAAATCAGCGCCGAAAGCAGCTGAGGCGGCGCTGGCGCCTCAAAGCAAACTCTCAAGGATCGAGGCACAGCAAGGCTTCAAGGAATGCCAGCAGGTTGCAAGGGCCAAGTGAGTCGTAGCCAAGGTCCTCTCTAAGGAAATCACAGCAATCACTCGCTGGTTGCATAGGCGCACCTCCCTTTTTCCAGGTGTGTTGGGCTCCCGCGGGCGTGTACAGCATCGTTCCAGTGGGCTTTCCAAACAGACGAGGAAGAAAAAAAAAACAAAGAAAAACGGCTGGTAATGAAGAAGAGGTGTTTGACAGGGTGGAAAAGAAATGAAACGGCACAGCGGTGCTAAACCGATGTTGAACAACTTTGAACCGTTAAACTAAGCCGCTGTTGTGTGTGTGTGTGTGTGCGTGTCTGTGTCGCTTTTAACATCGACCCCACACATCTTGCTGCATAATTAGCGCTACTGCGAGTAAACTTAGCCAACAATGTCCGTCGGAGAGGAGTAAACAGGTGAGTTGCCGCGCAAGCCCTTTGCTTTTCATTAGTTCATGAGTTCCACACGTGCTACCCACGCCAGTTCTCGCCAGGGCCCGGGCATTTGAGCTCACCATGATGCACCTCAACGAAGGAGGACGGTCTCTGTGCTCAATCCTTACGCCAACCGGCTGCACTGCTGGAAGGGCTGGGTCAAACCAAGCGGATGGGCTTAGACAGGCAAGCAAAACAAAGACTAGCCATGCCCACCTCCAGCAACCGGGCAATCCATCTCTTGTGCCAAGCCAAACAACTCCCCGGTCTAGCCACCCCCAAAACCCCCAGAAACCGTCTCCCCACCCCCACCCGACGGGAGCCGGACATTGCACGTGCCGCTTTGAGCCTCAGATCCCACGTGTCGCGCTCGGTCGCACCGCGTGAGCCGTCGCGCTCACCCAAAGCCGATGGCAAAATGACGTGCCCAGTGCCCGGGCCTTCAGACCCAAAAGTCGCTTCGCAATCCCCGATGCACACATTCGCGTCGGGGCCCCAGGCGTTCGTAGCCAGCCTTGGCCTTGCGGGCTGCTCGATAAAACTGCCACAGATCTGCAAGGCTCACAACAAGATGTCTGACAAAACCTCATCACACTCGGACTGGGCTCCAAAGGAATCACAGGGAATCTATCAACCTCACAGGCTCCGCTGGTGACATGTCCCAAACAGCCTCCCCAACTTTAGTCATACCCATCCCAGCCCATCCCAGCCCATTCCACTCGAGTTCCCATCCCCGCCTCTCCGCAGGGGCGGCGGACGTCGTACCCAGCGCAAACCAGGCGCCGCAGCAGTTCGTCTCCGTCCCGCTGCAGCCATGCCCGGCGCCTCGATTTCGGCGGCGGTTTCCACGGTCGATCAACACCCCAATGACAAAAGAGTCATGTCCTCGTGGCTTCCCAACCCACAAACATGCCTGGCGAAGTCAACATTATTCAGCAACCCTCCTGCTTCTGGTTCACTGCCTCAGCCCCAGATCCGGGGCAGCGGCTTCATGATGGTCTGCAGGGCGTGCTGCACCACGTCTTTGTCCAACAAACGGCGACTGGCAAACACTGTTCAGAGGTGCGAGGTGGTCGGGCAGTTTCAAGAAAACCTGCCCTCTCTCAGGCCAAATTTCAATCAACAGGCTTCTTGTCGTCCAGCTCTACCCCAACATGTCAAAAAGCCGGTACTACAATGGAACCCTGGTAAGTGGAAATATGGACCAAAACCTGCGGAACCCCCCATGTTTAATTTTGAGCCACACCCACATGGTTCAATCCGACTCGGTGCCCAGCACCCAGCACCCAAAAACCCGGCGCCCGGCACCAAGCGTCGGCATGCCCAGGCCTGCCGCCTTGTTCCAAGGCCTGCAGTCACGTGCGGTCCGGGAAAACTTGCAGCCCAAGTTGGGCATACTGACGGCATCATAGGCATAACTACAAACTGGCGATCCTGAGCCTACATCGGTTGAAGGAACGATGGCCAAAAGAGAAACCAGCTCACCCTGAAGCTTTTCCTGTTGCTCTCACTTGCTCCGCTGCGAAAGCAAAGCAAGTGGCAACTATGGGATTCCAACAAGGGCTACCTACCTTTTGGCATTCCTGATTCCAGCTTAATGGGTTTCTGTTCCTTGGTCCAACTCCCACATTTGCATCGGCTCCTCACCTCCTCTTTCTTTGCACAGGAATGCAGTGGGTTGCATTTTGCTGAACAAGTCCTGAGTATCAATTACGCAAGTTTGTTTCAGAGTAACCTCTCTGAAGGAAACGGCAAACAAAATGCTCTCGGTGTGTATATAAATGAAATAAGTAGTGCAACCCCATTCATGTACAACCGTGCCATGAAATGGCACCTCGTGGTGTTTAGCAATCACACATTCCACTGCTTGGCGCCAGGACGGCCGAAGCACACACACAGGACAGCCCTGGGTGCTTCAGGCCTTTGGGAGAGTCCCTCCAGCCTCCCAAAGCAGCGCTGCAAGATGCTCAGTCTGACCAGACCGGCTCGCCTGAGCGCGGCAGCTCATCCTCCAGCAAAACCCAACCTGCTGCTGTGGGAATGAATCATGATAGGTTTCACGTAGAGTCTGCGGTGAAACAGTCGCACAAGGCCTTACCAGCCCAAGTACAAGATACTCTCCCGCTTAAACGGGCCACCAAACATGGAAAGGGAATGTCGCCTCGGGTGGCAACTGCCTGCTTGCAGGCCTACCAAAATCTAATCCAATGTTACCCAAACCTTCGGGCAAAAGCAACACAACAGAACATTGATGTGCAGAAAGGAGGCTATGACTGAACGTGCTCATTAGTCCAGTCGACGCCTGAGACACTGCCACGCGCACGGAATGAGAATGTACTTACCTTGTTGTTCAGAAGTTGCTAGAAAAAAGCAGAATGGCCCAAGCCCGTGGGCAAACCTAGTTGGAGAGTCTAGAATTGCTAAAGCAGTGGGTCATCCTCTTTTTGTTGCGACCTCTGCGTCTCCAGCATTCTGAGAGCTGAAAGAGGAAAGAAAATAAGCCGCCGAGGGCATAAGAATTGCCTTCGAAGGATAACCGGTACAAGAGACCAGAGTCTATTCCCTGCCTGCCCGCTTTAGGCCCCAGCACCACGCAAGAGGGTGGAGTAGGTCTTCTCGTCCGGCACTTGGCCATCCTGGCAACCGGCCGCCAGTCGTGCGGCACCGGTTTCCGGTGCTCCCCGTTTCTCCGGAACCCACGGATTGAGCCCAGCCTCCATCATGCGATCCTTGAGGTTCATGGCCAGGTCAATGCGGCCGTTCCTGGGAACAGAACTCAAACCTCCCCCGATTCAGTACCACACGCGTGTCTCATATGCGCGGCTCTTTTTGCAGAACGCGATGCGTAGTTCAATGTTTTGTTGCTAGCAGCCTTCGGTGGTGATTGCACGGCCCATGCATCCTACCTAGGGCCTTGCGCAATGTAAGGCCTCCTATGGAAGATGGATTGACCGTGGCAGAGATGCCTGAAAACCATCATACTCATTCCAGAAGGGTCATGCACGCTGCCAAATGACCAAAAAACGGTGATGCATTCAATCCAAGTAATCAGCCTCACAATCTTGGTAGTGCGCTCTGAGTTTTTGCAAAGAAGTCGCCTGCTTGGTTCACTGTGAAAGCGCGCAACAATGGTGTTCTCTCTCCTGCCGCTACAGAACCTAAGCTTTGGTCTTCAAGACTGGCAAGGTGGAAGGAATCCCCTCAAGGCCTCCGGACAGCATTGATCGAGCCAATGGCACACCAAAAAGAAACGGGAGATTGGCGCCGGCTTCCGTCTGGGCTTCCGAGCCAGGTGCAGGAAGACATCAGAGTCGTGTAGACCTGGGCTGATTCTCCTCCCCTTCCTTCCGGCATGGCATCACACCAACGCGCCTCTACAAGAAACATCCAAGCATCGTGGATTTTTATGGGGAACCAGTTTGGCAATCCCGCGTGACAATTTGGATTGTGTCTTTCAAAAAGTAACGGCATCCATGCTGGAGCAAGATGTACACAAGGACCGCTTTCCTGTAGGTCCCCCTCGGCCGCGGGCCGCCGCATTGGGCCGAAACCCAAACTTCAGCGGCATCTCGTCTAGGACCTTCGCGCGGCACACCGGGGCTAGGGGGGGGGGGGGGGAGGTTTGGGGCATTTCGCAGGGATGGTTTTCAAGGGATGGTTTTGAAGGGATGGTGTTGAAGGAATGGCTTTCAAGCGAGGAGAAGCTTTACAGTTGAGGTTGAAGTTGGGGTTGAGGTTGGAGTTGGGAGAATTGGGGTACGCCAATCAGTGCCGTTGTACCTCAAACAGAACTCAGAACCCAAGCGAGGAAAAAAGTGAGATCCAAGGTTGTCAAAAACATGGCCCCTTATTGGACCTTGGTGCCGCCGTGTGTCGCCTTTGAAAGGGGATACCAAAAGAGCCCTAATTTGGTCTTGACATGTCCTTCCACAAATTTTGCCACAGTGCCCATCCGCCATCTGAGAGGAAAACTGCCATCAGCGGAGACTCGGGCAGTGCTCCAGAGCCCGCGCCTTGAAGGCGGCGTCGAGGTCGGCAATGCGACCGTAGAGCTTGATGAGAATGGAGGCCTCAGACAGGCGAAGCCGCTCGACGCTTTGGGAGGCAGGAAAGACTCGGAAAGACGAGTCTCACTTGGAGACCCGGCAGAGTAATTGCTCGGCTGCACGCCGGCTGCAATCATATCATTGATCACCTGCATGCCAAAAAGAGGTTGCTACGTGTTAACTCACCAGTACCAATGCCTGCTTGCTGTCACTTCTTTTGACAGAGCTCTCCCTCACTTCACTTCATGCGACACATGTTCAATTGATTTCGCCAAACTTCAGAAGTGCATCGTCAACCTCCATGGTCTGCCATTCAGATTGCTCGGGCCTGAGAACAAATGCCCATGTTGTTGCTGTCTCTCGCTCCCTGCCCGTTGCCCGTTTAGGAAGGTCGCCCTTTACGGAACACCGCCCCTTGCCTTCACACCCCATCTGACCCATTGGAGCCCTGTCCATGGTACGCCCTTCTCTGCCCACAACGCGCTCCTGCTCGCAGAGCGCTGGCATTTCTTTGCGCGCGCAGCCGTCCAGGAGACTGTTGAACACGATGGCATCCGGCTTGATGCCTGCAGAGGGGCAAGGCTTGTGAAAAATAACGGACAAACGAGACAAAGACACCGCTCTGCGCTCGCGAGGGGCAGAAAAGGGAACGCAAGAGCCAGGAAGGCACGGAGTCGGGCCTTTGCGGCGCATCGCGCCGAAGAGCGCGAGGGCCTGATCCAGGTCCCCCTTGGCGCAGTAGCCTGCAAACACCCGGTACCGGGCACAACCAAATGCCAGAGGAAAACATACACCGGGATTTCAATCCTGCGGGCTTCCCCGTGAAAAGCCATTCTTGGCTGTTCTCATTCCGAAGCCTTGAACTGAAAGCACTTGGCATCAAAGTCTTCGTTGGAGAATCTTGGCCCCTCGTTAATCCCTTGTGTACAACTTGCTGACGCTTTTCGGGGACTTGTATGGTCCTGGCATGTGGCAGCAAAACCTTTGACATGGTCTCCTTTCGAGTGATGTGTGCTGCCCTTTGAATGGATTTTCACACACCAGCATTTGTTGCATGCCCGTCCTTTGATGAGCGTGCTATAGGTGATCAGGTCGGGGACAATATCCAAACGGGCCTGCGAGGCTCGACAAGGCTGCGGTCGCCGACTTTCTTTTGGTGTGCTTTTTTGCCGCGGCGGTGGCAGCTGCAGCAGTGAAGAAGCAACGCCAACTTCGGCTGATCTAAACAAAAAGAACGCCCCAGGAACCTTCACAGGCAAGCTTGTTTCATTTTTTGGATGAAGAAAGGGACCGACTCGCCGAAACCTTTGGCCCCGGGCCATGTCATCCAGGAGCTCGCCCGCGCGGGCCATGTCCCCCACGCGGCAGCAGGCATCGATCAGCGTGTTGAGCACCACCACGCCGATGTGGACCCCCAGCGCCTGCCGCTGAGTGTGGCCCATTGAAGGTGCCGTCATGGAAGCTACCCATGAACACGTGGGGGTGCAACCAAACATGAAGTCTTAACACCATGCCTCTTCAACAGTTGTGAATCCAGGGCATGCATTTCTCGCTGGGACTCGGGCAAACAATCGGAGAATCAACACCTTGTGTCCTGACCACTTCACCACCTGCCCTGGTGCACACTGCCTGGCCCCACCCCGGCCACCCCAGCCTTCATCTCCTCGTAGCATTGCAAGGCGCGCACAGCGTCCTGTCGCCCACTGCCGCGTCAATCGCTAGCACACACGTCTCACAAAGTGAGTGCTTCAAGCCCCTTCCCCAAACCACACTTCCTTGCCTACCCCTCTGCTCACACTTTCAAAATAACACAAAAAAAATGCCAAAACAGCCTCTACTCACTCCTCAACAAATAAAATATAAAAAGGAGAAACAAAGTGCATGGGCGCGAGAAGGGGCCTTCTGCTGGGCATAGCCCTTCACCACCATGGCATAGGCCATGGCAAAGCCACTGGAGCTCATCCTCCCAGGTGTCACAGGCCACGCAAAAGGCACATTGGTGAGTTGCGCCGGCTCGGCCAACTGGACAATATGCATACCTATTTTTCAAGCCTAAGCTCATTGCATCTGAGAATAAATCGCAAACCCGGATGTCAACAAAGGCCAAACAAATGTTCTGTTCAACCGTCCCAAAGGGGCGTTGCTTCTTTGTCTCAAATATATGGCTACTTGTGCGTGTGCAACCAAGTGTCTTTGTGTATACAAGCGCATTCATTCATCTAGAGTTTTCGACATGCCAAAATCTGATGAAAATGTACCATATACATTCATACTATATACAAAAACAAATCTATCATGCGTATAATTCATATGTCTACTTGCTCAGCCAGCCCTCTGGCTATTTTCCAAGTCCCGGGTCACAGGGCCACAGCCCCACCCCTTCTGCGCCTGTCACCGTGGGCCTGGCGCATCTCCTCAAAGAGCTCCAGCGCCTGCGGCAGGCGCCCACCTCGCGGCGCGCGGAATTCGTTCTCGTGGCGGAGTTTCGCCCAGATTTTCAGGGGGTTGCGGACCTCGAAAAACTGGGCGTTCGAAACCATGAGCAAATGTTTTTGTTTTTCCCCAAAAACCCCTTTGGGGTTGGGTTCTCGTTTAACTTAGTTGCCTAACCGCGACGGAGCGAGGATCGGCAGGGGCTCGGCCTGAAGTGTACCATGTTTGCAGCATGCCGTGTAAACGCCACTGGCCGGGAAATGGCCGAACACGGCCTGCCGGCTGAATTGCCGGCAAGAACGGGACCGGTCTCAAGTGTGCCGAGTCTACCGCATATTGCAGGGCCGAGTTTGCAGCATACCGCGCAAGCGCCGCCAAGAACGTGACCGGTCTCAAGTGTGCCGAGTTGCGCCGAGTTTTGCCGAGTTTACCGCATACCGCAGGTGGTCGGGCTTCAAGTGTATCAAGTTTGCAGCATACCGCGCAAGCGCCGCTGGGCCGGCTGAATTGCCGGGATTATCTTGACTGTCGGTGACGGTGCCGGCTGAATTGCAACCAGTGCCGAGGTGACGGGAGGTGCTGGAGGCCGCGCGCCGGTGAGCTTGGTCCACAGAGGCGCAGCGATAACGAGGCGCGGTCGTCTGTGCGCCGGTGGGCTTTGGCTCCAGGAAAGCAGCGAGAGGTCAGCCGTACGCCGGTGGGATTTGGCTTGGCGGAGGCGGCAAGGATGGAGGTGACGGCGGCGTGCGCCGGTGGGATTTGCTTCTGCGGACGCAACCAGCGCCGAGGTCACGGGAGGCGCTCGCGCGCCGGTGGGGTTTGGTCCACGGAGGCGCAACGATACCGGATTTGGCTCCAGGAATGAGCTGCGCCCGTGGCATTTGGCCGCGCGCCGGTGGGGTTTGGTCCACAGAGGATCGCTGCGCCGGTAAGATTTGGCTCCAGGAAAGCAGCGAGAGGTCAGCCGTACGCCGGTGGGATTTGGCTTGGCGGAGGCGGCAAGGATGGAGGTGACGGCGGCGTGCGCCGGTGGGATTTGCTTCTGCGGACGCAACCAGCGCCGAGGTGACGGGAGGCGCTCGCGCGCCGGTGGGGTTTGGTCCACGGAGGCGCAGCGATACCGGATTTGGCTCCAGGAATGAGCTGCGCCCGTGGCATTTGGCCGCGCGCCGGTGGGGTTTGGTCCACAGAGGATCGCTGCGCCGGTAAGATTTGGCTCCAGGAAAGCAGCGAGAACGAGCTGGGGTCAGCCGTACACCGGTGGGATTTGGCTTGGCGGAGGCGGCAAGGATGGAGGTGACGGTGGCGTGCGCCGGTGGGATTTGCTTCTGCGGATACCAGAACCGAGGTGACGTGAGGCGCTGGAGGCCGCGCGCCGGTGGGATTTGGTCGGTGGGATTTGGCTTGGCGGACGGCGGCGCGCGCCGGTGGAATTTGCTTCTGCGGATGAACCAGCGCCGAGGTGACGGGAGGTGCTGGGGGTGGGTCAGCCGTACGCCGGTGGAGGATGGAGGTGACGGCGGCGTGCGCCGGCGGGCGGATGCAACCAGCGCCGAGGTGACAAGGCGCAGCGATGACGAGGCGCGGTCGTCCGTGCGCCGATGGGATTTGGCTCCAGGAAAGCAGCGAGAATGAGCTGGGGTCATCAAGAGTTGGTCACCTTTGTGCAGGCTGACGATACTTTTCAGCAACCCACTGGGGCTGCAGTCGCTTGGTTGTCAGACAGCTGCAACGATTTCGGGCCTTTGTTTTCACCCGTGTGAATTTCATCCAACGCTGGCAAGATCAGGCAAGCCTGCTCGCGCCGCGCGAGCTGCGTGCGCGCCGCGCGCGATGCGCTCAACATCACATGGAAAGGCGCGCGCGGCGCGCGCGCGGCGCGAGCAGGCCGCCGTCCCCTCTGAACAACCTTATATTCCAAAAACATTGCAAGCAAATAAGAAGGAGCGAGCCAGAATGTTGGCTCCTTAAAAGCAAGCGGCGCGCCTGACATCACGTGACGCGGCAAAAAAAAGGCTGCTGCTGCTACCCCGGGAGTCCAAAAGACAAAGTGAACGTGCATGTTCGCACGAAGTGATGCCCTTCGGACAAGTGCTTGGGAGACGCCCCTTTGCCGAACACAACCCGCAAGTAAGCTCCGAGAATACGTGACAAACCATGGATTGTTGCAACGATGTAGTTTCGACAGCCGCGTCCTGGACTCGCATTTCTCTTGCTCTGGTCCGACGCTTGCAGCTCAGTGCAAGGCTGCCACCTAAGAGCTTTTGCTGCTTGCAAAAACCAATTGTCCGTGGAGCCCTCAAGGGGCCATAACAAAAAGGCATACTCCACGCAGCAGCAATAGCAGCATTGTCGGTCTGCCTGTGTTGCCCACGAGCTCCTGCCTGCAAACTGCTTGGGCAAGCAGTTCGCTGACAGTCATTCACAAATATTTGTTCGCATCTTGGTTTTTGGGTTCCCCGGCTCTCCTTTTTTGTTTTTACCTTGAGAAATGTGTTGACCTTTGCGTTATACTGCAGATGCCGCGGTTCCAGACCATCGCCATTCACGATGGCTACTCCTTATATTCATGTGCGCGTGAAATTCCTCAGACTGCTATAGTATATAGCAAGCCGAGCATCGCTGCGTGGTTCTCCGAACCCAGCTATTCTTGAAGAACGTACAAGGTAATCCGATGGCAATGTCACAGGAGCAATCTCACTTTGACCACGTGCAACATATCGTTTCAAACGTCCAGCTACTTCAAAGGTTTCTTCAAACAGAACCATCGAATGGGTATGTCAGATTTCCTTGCAACGTCACAGCATTTACTCCAAATGAAGGCTTTCGGGACGCAAGGACTGATCCACTCCAACAGTCAAACGTGGAGCCAAAGGTTGAACGTCCATCCCGGCCCTGCGAGATAGGTTTCAAGTACGGTGTCCTATTCGAACTCACACATTGGAAAGTGTCCTTGATAAGCTCAGTGTCAGAAGCAACCGTCTAGGTGTCATTTTGCAGGAAGGGGCTGCTGGCGCCAGCTGGGGCTGACAATATTCAGCGCATGAGAACCTCTCTATCTTGGTTGCTCTTGCGAATTCGCCTGCAGACCAAGCTCGGGCATCAACCAAAAGCCCCACCCCCTCCCGCAGCCAGCCTGTCACTAGCACGTCGATCATCTGTGCAAACATGTGCTCGCTGGGCGCAATTCCCTGAGCGCAGGCAGATAGGCAGATAGGCAGACAGGCAGACAGGTAGACAGGCAGACAGGCAGACAGGCAGACAAGCAAACAGGCAGAAAGGCAAAAAGGCAGACAGGCAAACACACAAAGAAACAAACAAACAAACAAACTGAAAGAAAGACGGACAAGAAAGAATTCAGACCTGCATCAATGGTTGTGTCGAAATCCAACCGGTCGGGTATTGTGGAATAATATCTAGTCGCCATGAACAGAAAGCCAACCAATCCAAAGGCTGTGTCTAAACCCAGCAGGGCCTGTTGCCAGAAGAAACCAAGACGGGGCCCTTGGTCTTATTGGCGCAGTCTCCACCCCCCCCTCCCCAGCCAGCCTGGCGCTTGATATCCGCCCAGAGCTCAAGGGCCTTATGCATCTGGTTCGTCGAGCCGAAGGCCTGCCCGGGTGACAAATCACAACCAACACACGCATCGCAGATGCGAAAACCCCGGCGTGGATATCTCCAAGTGGCCAAGGGTGTCGTTTACACCTGCAAGTGGAAGAGGTGCTGGAGCACCTCCCGCCTTGATGAGGCCGGAGTAGGTGTTGGCGTTGCAATGCTTGGGAAGGTCCCACCCAGACCTGTCAATCAGAAACACGGAACTGAGACCCCAAACAGGCCGCTTCATGCAAGGATTTTTGTGCAGACATTCCAGCTGAACCAGGCTGCGTGCGTGGTGTATTGAGTGTACTCTGCAGGGGCTGCTTAGACTTGCCAAACCGAGCAGAGCCGCAACCTGCGACTTGCTGGCGCTCGGCGATCGGACCTGTCTCTGGGCTCCCTGGCCGCTTCAGCATCTGCAGCACCTTGCTGAGGCGGTAGGTGTCCCTCAGGCCGACACAAACCTGGCCGGATCCGACAGCCCCGAGCGACGTGACTCTCACATAGGAGGATGCAATCTGCTGGGGGCAACTCCGCCTGGCGCTATGTTTGCACTTGTCCTTTGCTTGTGACGTGTTTACGTCTGCCTTGTGGTGTTGGTCTTTGCATTTGCGCGTTCAATGCAAAGAATGGTCAGAGCTGGCTCCCTCCCGAGCGCCTCTCTTCTTATAGTCTCAAGCGAACGGAGCCATTCAGAACCATGTTGGCTGAAGATGATGTCGCAAGTAAAGAAGCTCGTGTCAAGGAAAGCCTTTTTGGTTGAAAGCACTTACGGGTCGCTGTTTTATGATACGCCCATGTTGAAACTCAATCTGCCAACCTCAGTCCCACGAAGATTCAAAAACAGCATCTAAGCAGCTGCAAAGCCAACCTCAGAAAGATCAAACTGCTATACTTTGAACCGTCAAAACCAAAAAACTGCAATGCTGGCCAGAGCAATCAGTGCTGCTCCAGAAAATGATTTGCCGCACAGCTTCACAAGCCGCCATCGCAAGACAAGGAACTTGTCTAAAAACACGCGACTCTAGTAATTGGGTTCCCAAGCCTCTGCTGCCAAAATAAAGTGGCTCGAATAGCCGCCACTGCCACGCCTATATAAGAGCCACACCAAGCCTGGAAAGGAACAGGTATCTCCCCAACCAACGCTGTTCAATCCTGTCCACGGCATAGCTGCCGAAAGCTTCCAAGGCAGGTCTGTGAGAGTTGGGGGCTTGGCAATGGACAAGCGCCTCCAGGATGACATTCACCAGGACCTCGTCCATCTTGCCGCAGTGCCTGACCAGAGTCTGCCCTGGAAGAGGGTTGGAAGGTGTCCTGTTCCAACACAAGGAGCTGTCACGCCGCGTGCGATAAACGAATTGCACGGCTTCCAAAGAGCTCACCTGGAGACCAGGTCCACCGCGCGATCAAAGTCAAAGTTCTGCCGGGTCTTGTAGCCCTGGACGGGAGAGATCACAGCTGACCGGCACACGGTCCGAACAGCCATGATTTTATGTATCCCCAAATGGGGCCTTACAACAGAGGCTCAAATGCACAACGCTCCGATTGTTCCTCACGTCGAGCAGAAAGGGTGGGGCGTCCAGAGCATCCCAATGTTGAAACATACATACCCTTCCTGCCAGTGCCACACGCATTTTCTTCTGGAACTCACCCCTGAGAAACATGATGACTAAGGAAGCTCTGCCATGCAAAGAAGGGCAGCCAATAGATTCAAGGCAAAGCCGGCTCATCATCACTTTAAATAAGGAGACCTGCCCCAAATCAAGCTATGAAACACAACAAGTTGCCCCCAAAGTGGCCAAAGGCTGCTGACAGCAGTCCGCAAGCTGTCTTCAAGCCTTGAAAAGGATGCTCATGGTGTACGCGTCCACGCTAGGACCATGACCTTAGTAGCACACACCCAAAAACACGGAGGATATGCATCGCATCTTTTGCGTGAGCTGCACCTGTGGTTGGCTAGTATACCGCACATGCAAGTAGGGCGTTACGGCATTTGCCAGTCATGTTTCCTGTTCTTTGATGGTTGACTCGCACTCTGACTGGATATCTCCAACCCATCATCCGGAGCAGCTCCCTGTTGCGCACCACGAGCGTTCAAGGCCGTCGCATCCCTACCCACGACAAGCACCATCCCGACGTCCCGCTGCCGCGCCACGGCATTCGAGACCCCCCGCGCTCCATCTTGTCGATTGTCCGCCAAGTGAAGTCCTGGCAGGGCAAACAATCCTTCAGCCGCGAAAGAGTCAAGCGCCCATGGAGACTCGCAGCGAGACAATTCGGAACCAAGGACCAAAGTATTTAGACTTGGGCCCCCAAAAAAGAAAGGCCCCCAAAGAGCACAGCTCGATGATTTCCAGGTTGGCTCAAAACCGGCGGGCAGCACCAGGTCGCCCTGGGCCACTGCGGCACCTGGCAGGAGAACTGGCGGCAAAAGCATTCAGCCTCTCAGGTCCGGAGTTTGCAAGCGGGACCTCCATGCCAGGTATTTCAAAGGATCCCTGAAGGCCTTCAGACCGATTCAAGATGGCAATGCTTCTCTCACCCGACGAGAGGCCAACCCGAGCGCCCCCACCCAGCAGGATGTTGAAGCTGGCAGTGTTGGGCCGAAGCCCCGAGCCCGCCATCTCCTGGCGTCTCTCCGGCACCCCCGGCTCGGGTCATAGGACACACCCGGCACCGGAGCTGGAGCTCACCCCAGGCAAAAAGCTCAAGATGCGCCACGCCCTCGCCTCCATCAGGTCCTTGGCTTGCTGGAAGCCACCTGCAGCTCACATCGCCCCGGAACACACGCGCCGTTTCGGAGTGGTCGACCGGCCTTTGCGAGTGACCAGGGCCCTGAGCATGATGTTGCAAGAGCTCACATCCCGACCTGCGAGTGCCAACGAACGCGCTGACCCACGCCACACTGCCGGGGATCCGAGGGCGTCGCTGTTGTTGCTCTTCATCTCCTTGAAGGTACTCATCGCCTCGAACAACAAGCCAGCGTCACCAGCGACGAGTCACGCACTTCAGCTTCGCCCGACTGCCCGCAACATGAGCTTCGACGCTCAGCCTTCCGAAGCTGTCCCAAATTTTATCCACAGCTTTCCCTGGCCCAAGTTGCCAGCGAAGCTCCAGCACCCCAAACACCCCAAGGACCTCAAAGGACCCACAGGACCCGAAAGGACCCGAGCGAGCGCCCGGGCCAGCTCCAGGCAGCCCGCCGCCACCGCGGCCTCCAGCAGCCCGTTGCCGCTCTGGCCCTAGCTGAAACCGTCTCTGAGAACGCGAGCCAAAACGAGACCAAATCGCAACGAAACATCTGTAAAGCCAAAACCAAAGGGCGAATGCGCAACAAAAAAGGCAAACCAAAGGGCACAACAAAAAGGACACAACCTCCCTGTAAATCCTCAGAAAACAAAAAGTACGGGATGGAAACAACACGACAAGGCCATCCCCCCTTGGCCCCACCACCGTGCGATGACCAAAAAACGGAGGACACCCGGACGGGCCTTGGCCAGTTCAGTGCCCCGGAGCTGCTCCAACCTCAGGAGATAGGCTTGTGTTCAGGCAAAACCAACCATTGCATTTGTTGATTGATGTGTTTTTTTGGTTTTTTTTTTCCCGGGATACTATCACTTGTGAACCCCCAAACTCAGCACGCGAGGAGGTAGGGCAACCTCAGCCCAAAAACGGCGTCTGGAAACCTGTGTCTCTCCGTGGGAGAAGTCCCTTTGAATTGAAAACGGGTTCTTGCGCACCAAAGTGTGTGTGTGTGTGGGTGGGTGTGTGTGTGTGTGGGTGTGGGTGTGGGTGTGCCCAAATAGAGGGCACCTCCCCCAAACAAAAAAAGAAAAACAAGCGGGGGCTTTCCTTTTGATTTGCCCCCAGCAGCCTTTCAAACAACATTTGCCTAAACATCCCTCCGGCCCCGGCAGCTGCTCTCGCAGCTCCTCGTCCTGGCAACGGAAGGGGCACCATGAGTCCGCAGACAGCAACCCGTTCAGTTCAGTTCGTGTGCGACTTGTTTCTTTGCAAATGTGTATGTGTTATTTTCTTTGTTGTTTGCTTCTTTGGTGGTTCGCTTGCCCTTGCCCTTTTGCGCTTTGAGGTTGGCTTTCGGGCCTGGGCGAGGGCCGTCAAAGAACTCACAGGAAACTTCGTAGCCATATGAAAAACTGGGAATCCAAGGACTGCGACCAAATCCGCTCCACAGGACAGCAGGCGAGAACACATGAGCTCGTCAGAAGAAAGATCTTCGCTTCTCGCATAAACCAAAAAGACTGGAACCCAAAAATTGGGATTTGCCCTTGACTTCGGCCCCGGAATGGCTAGGGCATAGCCTTGCCGACTTGAGGCAAAACGAATGCCGCGGAGATGGGAACCTGTTGGCCAGCCCAACCAACATCCCCCTCTCCTCGCACTCGCGAAGCAGGTGGGCCAGGCACTGCGGGCTGTGCCCTGGCAAAAGAGTCAGGGCAATGAAGGCGTTCGACAAAGTCAGTGAAGGCTACGTGACGAGAGGTTCGCCAAAGGAGGGAAACTAAAGCGCGTCGTAGCAGATTCGTGCATAAATATGTTTGATTAGTAGTATTCTTGTTTAGGGTACAGTAGTTGCTTGACCCACGGCAAAACAAATCGAGACTGACAAGGCGAAAGCCTCGTGTCCAATATGCCACCAGCAAGTGCAGAAGCGGCCAGCGTCGGCACACAAGAATGCTGGATCTGATCTGACAAGAAGCATCTCTCATTCGAATCGGTCGCATGCCCCGTCCCTCCATCTAATCCCTGAGGTTCCTTCGGGCGCAGCCCGGAAGCAGCGCGTCGCCAGGGGGAGATCACACGCCGCCAGTGCCTCAGCTCTCAGCGCAGCAAACGCGCGGGCGTTTGAGGTAGAGTACCTCATTGCGGAACCCTCAAAATGGGCAACTTCCCTTTTCCCGTCGTAGCCCCGTAACCTGGAACTAAAACGCCCAAATGATCGGTTGAACTTTGCTAAGCGAGCAACAGTGACTGGGCCACCCCACACAGGGCAAGATGCGGCGCCAAAGCTCCTCCGGGGCGGCATCTGCCTGGTTCAAGCAGGAGCCGGTTCAAAGTGCCGCTGGGCAAAGGCCCGAGGACGTGAGCAAGTGGGGACTGGGAAGGTATCCTGCCGGTGCGTGTCTCTAGAGTGGCAGATTTGCATGCAAGGGCTAATGCAAGGTGCCTCTGTCCCTGCGTGAGTCTTGTTCAGAAGTGCGGGTGGGTTGGTGTTCTTCACAAACAGCCCTCAAAGGCAGCTGAAAGATTATGTGCAGCACGGCGTCTCGAGAGTTGCAAAGAAACAGTTGATTGGAAGTGTTGCAAGAATTCTTGCTCCGTAGCTTCTAGAGTATCATCTTTCGGCTTGATCTGATGGCACCAGATTGACCTTGACAGCAAGAGCTAGCTGCCTTGAACTTTGCGCGTTGGACTGTTCATGCCCGCTCAGAAAGAGAGTCGAAACAGGGTCAAACCGCATGCCCCCTTCATCCAGCAAGTGTTCAACAGTCGGACCTTCTCAAATCACGGCATATAATTACCCTGATTCATCCAAAAGATGCATTCTTACAATGCGAAAGCTCAGCCGAGTCCAGCCAAACAAAGACAAACCTGGCCATCCCGAACTGCGCTCCCTCAAAGCCTCCTTAAAGATCTCGCAGGCGCGCACTGGGCACTTCCTCACGATCGATGCCATGCGGGGTTTCACCGCGCTCCATCGCCGCGAGAAAACCACGAGCGATTCCCCTGAAAGCCTGAAAGATGGCTTTGTGCACATGCCTTACTATGTTGCGAAGATCTCTGACTTGTTTGACTACGCCGCCCGGCCAAATTCGGGAACATCTCCACGGAAAGACCCATCTTGCAGGCTCCTTCAGACCCCCTGAACACAAGCACCTGCTCTCAAATTGCACGGCCACCCTCCTGCCAGCCAACATCCACCGTGCAAGCCGCGACCAGACGCCCAAGCCAAAAAATCAGCGCCGCTAGTCTGAAACGTCTCGTGTGGCAACGCCTGAAAACAGTCACAAGCTTGTGGAGTGCTTGGCTGTGCTGAACATCGCGCCATGCTCTGGCACCTTCTGAAAGGGCAACTCTGGGTGAGCCACAAGCACCCGTTCTCAAGATGCACGCCACCCTGCTGCCAGCCAACACCCACCGTGCAAGCCGCGACCGGACGCCCAAGCCAAAAATCAGCGCCGCCAATCCCAACTAAACTGGTCTTGAAGTCAGCGCCACCAGAACTTGCAATACTCGTACAGCATGCTGCAGGGGCGTCTGAAAACAGATCGCAGGTCACAACTGGGCCTGACTGTGCTGGGCACCACTGAAGTTCAGAAGTCTTCTGGCACCCTTGCAAAAGACGGGCTTGCAGAATCACAGAATGTCTGTTCGAGAAGTGCTGTTCCACACCAAAGCAGCTGGCACCCCAACGCGTTCGCCCACGCGATACGTCTCGTGTGGCAACGCCTGAGAACAGTCACAAGCTTGTGGAGTGCTTGGCTGTGCTGAACATCGCGCCATGCTCTCGCACCTTCTTAAAGGGCAACTCTGGGTGAGCCACAAGCACCCGTTCTCAAGATGCACGCCACCCTGCTGCCAGCCAACATCAATCATGCAAGCCGCGATCAGACGCCCAAGCCAGAAATCAGCCTCGCCAATCCCAACCAAACTGGTCTGAAGTCAGCGCCACCAGAACTTGCAATACTCATACAGCATCCTGCAGGGGCGTCTGAAAACAGATCGCAGGTCACAACCGGGCCTGACTGTGCTACACCACCACTGAAGTCTTCTGGCACCCTTGCAAAAGACAGTTCCGCAGAAGCACAGAATGTCTGTTCGAGAAGTGCTGTTCCACACCCCACGCACTACGTCTCGTGTGGCAACGCCTGAAAACAGTCACAAGCTTGTGGAGTGCTTGGCTGTGCTGAACATCGCGCCATGCTCTGGCACCTTCTGAAAGGGCAACTCTGGGTGAGCCACAAGCACCCGTTCTCAAGATGCACGGCCACCCTGCTGCCAGCCAACACCCACCGTGCAAGCCGCGACCGGACGCCCAAGCCAGAAATCAGCGCCGCCAATCCCAACTAAACTGGTCTTGAAGTCAGCGCCACCAGAACTTGCAATACTCGTACAGCATGCTGCAGGGGCGTCTGAAGACAGATCGCAGGTCACAACTGGGCCTGACTGTGCTGGGCACCACTGAAGTTCAGAAGTCTTCTGGCACCCTTGCAAAAGACAGTTCCGCAGAATCACAGAATGTCTGTTCGAGAAGTGCTGTTCCACGCCAAACCACTGGCACCCCAACGGGTCCGCCCACGCGCTACGTCTCGTGTGGCAACGCCTGAAAACAGTCACAAGCTTGTGGAGTGCGTGGCTGTGCTGAACATCGCGCCATGCTCTCGCACCTTCTTAAAGGGCAACTCTGGGTGAGCCACAAGCACCCGTTCTCAAGACGCACGGCCACCCTCCTGCCAGACAACCTCCACCGTTCAAGCCGCGACCAGACGCCCAAGCCAGAAATCAGCGCCGCCAATCCCAACTCAACTGGTCTTGAAGTCAGCGCCACCAGAACTTGCAATACTCGTACAGCATGCTGCAGGGGCGTCTGAAAACAGATCGCAGGTCACAACTGGGCCTGACTGTGCTGGGCACCACTGACAGAAGTCTTCTGGCACCCTTGCAAAAGACAGTTCCGCAGAATCACAGAATGTCTGTTCGAGAAGTGCTGTTCCACACCAAAGCAGCTGGCACCCCAACGCGTTCGCCCACGCGATACGTCTCGTGTGGCAACGCCTGAAAACAGTCACAAGCTTGTGGAGTGCTTGGCTGTGCTGAACATCGCGCCATGCTCTCGCACCTTCTTAAAGGGCAACTCTGGGTGAGCCACAAGCACCCGTTCTCAAGATGCACGCCATCCTCCTGCCAGCCAGCATCCACCGTGCAAGCCGCGACCAGACGCCCAAGCCAGAAATCAGCCTCGCCAATCCCAACTAAACTGGTCTTGAAGTCAGCGCCACCAGAACTTGCAATACTCATACAGCATCTTGCATAGGCGTCTGACAACAGATCGCAGGTCACAACTGGGCCTGACTGTGCTGGACACCACTGAAGTTCAGAGGTCTTCTGGCACCCTTGCAAAAGACGGGCTTGCAGAATCACAGAATGTCTGTTCGAGAAGTGCTGTTCCACACCAAAGCAGCTGGCACCCCAACAGGTCAGCCCACGCGATACGTCTCGTGTGGCAACGCCTGAAAACAGTCACAAGCTTGTGGAGTGCTTGGCTGTGCTGAACATCGCGCCATGCTCTCGCACCTTCTTAAAGGGCAACTCTGGGTGAGCCACAAGCACCCGTTCTCAAGATGCACGCCAACCTGCTGCCAGCCAACATCAATCATGCAAGCCGCGACCAAACGCCCAAGCCAGAAATCAGCGCCGCCAATCCCAACCAAACTGGTCTTGAAGTCAGCGCCACCAGAACTTGCAATACTCGTACAGCATGCTGCAGGGGCGTCTGAAAACAGATCGCAGGTCACAACTGGGCCTGACTGTGCTGGGCACCACTGAAGTTCAGAAGTCTTCTGGCACCCTTGCAAAAGACAGTTCCGCAGAATCACAGAATGTCTGTTCGAGAAGTGCTGTTCCACGCCAAACCACTGGCACCCAACGGGTCCGCCCACGCACTATGTCTCGTGTGGCAACGCCTGAAAACAGTCACAAGCTTGTGGAGTGCTTTGCTGTGCTGAACATCGCGCCATGCTCTCGCACCTTCTTAAAGGGCAACTCTGGGTGAGCCACAAGCACCCGTTCTCAAGATGCAGGGCCATCCTGCTGGCAGACAACATCCACCGTGCAAGCCGCGACCGGACGCCCAAGCCAAAAATCAGCGCCGCCAATCCCAACTAAACTGGTCTTGAAGTCAGCGCCACCAGAACATGCAATACTCATACAGCATCCTG